ATTATTTTATTTAAGAACCTTATCCACAGCAACGCATGGCCGGGTCTGTTAGTAATATATATGTTACCCTACAGAACATACAAAACTATTTATTAGGAAGCTGAAATATGTAGGTGAGACTGAGACTGAGGTACCTCGGTAAAAACATATACCTAACGTGTAGAAAAATATTAAAAAAAACACCAATTTCTTAAACTACATATAAATATTACAATAAGTAAAATTGTTACCTCACTTATTTTAAGTTTACACACTCACTATAAGGGATTTTTTAGGTTTTTACAATTATCCTTATGTATTGTATATAAGGATAATTGTATTCTTAAATATTAACCTAATATTGAAATCATGGTCTAGTGATTTTTTATACTACATAGGCGGTAATCTGGGATACGGCCTATCTGATGGTAAATGGTTACTGTAGCCTATGGACGTCTAAAACAACAGGGGTGTCATGTGTGCTTTACCAACACTAAATTTAATAGGACACTATATTATATATTTGCTGATAACAAAACATTTTAATTTAATGTTAATAGAATGACTAATAATTATGACGATGTAAATAGTGCTTTGCGGCGTCTCCTGCACTGGTTTACAACTAACAATCTTATGTTAAACGCTAAAAAAACAAAATGTGTTAATTTCTCTCTGTCTAAAAGTTTTAATACTAATTGCAACATAAAATTAAATGACGAATCTCTCGAATTTATAGAATCTACTGTCTTTCTAGGAATCACACTAGATAATAAAACACAATGGGATGCACAAATTCAAAGCCTTGCAGCGAAACTAAGTTCAGCAGCTTTTGCCGTCGTAAGATTAGACAGTACACTGATACTGATACTGCGAGATTAGTCTATTTTAATTATTTTCATAGTTTACTCTCTTATGGAATATTACTATGGGGAAAAGCGGCAGATATTAAAAATATATTCATATTACAAAAACGTACCGTTCGAGCGATCTACGGTATGAAGAGTCGTGACTCATTAAGAGAGAGAAATTCAAAGAGGCAAATATTCTCACCGTTGCTTCTCAATTTATATATTCAAATATCCTATATGTTCATAAAAATCTTGACTTATTTCCAAAAAACAGCAATATTCTTAATATTAATACTAGATTTAAAGACAAACTTGCTGTCCCCAAGTATCGTTTAGAAAAAGTTAATAGGTCTTTTATGGGAATAGGTATAAAAATTTACAATAAGATACCAAAGGATATGTTGGAATTACCCTTAAATAAATTCAAAACATCTGTTAAATCATATTTACAGAGCAAAGCCTATTACTCACTAAACGATTACTTGAATGACGAGTGTGCATGGCAATAGTTGTTCATGCACTGAATTTTCATTTAATGTTAGACATAGACACCTATATAAATATACATTGTAAATAAACTGGCTTTAAAAAAAAAAAGTAATTCAATTGAGTTTCTTGCCAGTTCTTCTCAATTGGATCTATATACCGAACTGGACGGCAGGGAAAAAATAAAATTATAATGTAAAAATTTGACGTTCATAAGCGGCTAAAATGTCCTACATGAATAAATGATTTTTGAATTTTGAATTTTTTTTATACCTGTGATATTTCTAATTAACCCTACCAAATAGCGGGAAGGGGATTATTAGTAATGTGGACTAATAACTTCATTGCTAGCAATGGATTTATACCAAGGTTGACTTTCTCACAGTTTCCTCTGGGAACCATCATAATTCTAGGGCTATTACTACGATTGTCTAACTAACCTGACTTATAGTATACTATATAACAACGTAAAAATATATTGTAATAATCTTAAATCTATACAAAATAAATAAGTACGTAAATTAAACTTAATTTCAATCATAATATTTGTAGAACCCCGTAGAGGCATTATTGTATGATGGATGATAATGTGTTTAACATTATCATCCTCTACTGCTGTCCAACTAGCGTATACTTTTAGCGCAGGTGAACCATACCCTTATCATTAAAAAACCTCTTATATTATCATCTAACCTAATTTTATAGTTATATTAACATCCATTAAAATACCATCATGTTTAATATCTAGTTAATATATTGTAGTAGACAATGGGTATATGACTTGACTTAATCCTATTTTTCTGGTACAGTCAATTTGCCACGATTGACCTGTCCTGATCTTATGCTCATCCTAACATCCTCCACTGGTGCCCCACCATCACAGATGGGTGGACCATTCTGTTATTAGCCATAAAAATAGTAGTATTAGGGAGGAAAGGGGATTGTTAGTAATGTGGACTCATGACCCCATTACTAGCAATGTACCATGTCAGGTTGACCACCACGCAGTTCCCCCTGGAAATCATTGTGATAAATTCCTGGTAAATTTGTAACAATGTGCTAACTGACCTGACCTCATGCTCATCCTATCATCTTCCACTGGTGCCCCTCCAGCGTAGAAGCACAGGCGTTAGCACAGGCGGAAACATCATTCCATTATCATCCATAAAAAAATATCGCTGGTGGAAACAACATTCCATTATCATAAAAAAAAATAGTGGTATTGAGGACTTTATAGTAGGTAGGTTTACAGAAGGTAAACAATTCTCTATATTTGTCATTGCTACAATTACCTCATCCATAATAGGTATAAAATATAAATAACAGACAGATCACATAGTAAACATGTTAGTCATAATTAGGATATGACCAACTGCCTACCATTTTTATATAAAGTAAAATAATAATTATGTTTAGTAAAACAGATTAGGATATATTAAGGTTACAGCAATGCGGATGTGGCACCCGTGATGTCCCAGAAGTCTATAGACTATGATAACCATTGACCTTCAGATGGGCCATATGCTTGTTTGCCACCATCATGGTAAAAATAAAAGTTTCATCATCATCATCGTCATCATCATCATTTGCTTCTTCTTTATATCATTTATTTTGGGTCGGCGTAATATGTTTTTCGCTTCCATTCATCCCTGCTTGCAGTCATAAAAAAAATAAGTTTATAATATGTAAATTAAAACTGTAATCCTTGTTTTTGGGAAGGAATTGTCTTCCAATATACAGCTCATGCTAGTTTGGGAGTCAGGACAGAATCAAACTATACACTTATGAAGATTTAAATAAATAAATATATAAATATGCATATATATGTGTGTATATTTATTGTATGGTCCTCTTTATTTATTAAACTGAGGTTACCTGTAATTTCAGTGCATTGATTGAAAATAATTAAACTTTCTAAAATAAAAGTTAGCCCTTATAATATAAACTATCTGCAAAGGAAAGTCTGTCAAAATCTGTCTAGCCATTTCAGAGAGTAGCAAACACAAACAGATGGACGGACAAAAATGTTTAAAATTATTTTTTTATCTAAGTACCCTATCTATATTTTTATACTTTATTCAGTGGAAACCTGTTAATTTGAAATAACAAACAGTCACTTCAATTTTATTCATTATACATTATAATTTCAGCCTAAATACAAATTTCCTAGAGTCCAGGAGAGTTATGTTAATTTAGATCTACCTGTGTGTACCAAATTATTATTTTATACAAAATTGGAACAACAGTGCATTGTAGCAGACAAACTGATAGCCTGACTGATTATGTAGTGCAACTATCACCTATATACATCAAATAACATGAAATGAAATCAAATTTTATTTGTGTATTACACAGTTAGATCACAGTAATATGTCCAGGTAATAATATTATTGGCAACTGTTTAATTGCACCAATTTAAGGGTATACAAATTTTTACTATATTTATAAACAGCATTATATATATAAATATATTAGTCATCACATTATCATGGAACCGCTGTTACCATCATGCATTCCAGACATCATCCTCTAATTGTACTCAGCTGTATGCAATTGAATAGTAACAGAAAAAATTCAAATCATTAACAAATACAATTAAGTATAAAAACTTTGTAAATCTTAACACTTACAATATTATTTGCAGGGATTGGACTTACTGCATAAAAATATATTATTAAGTAATAAATTGTTTTCCTTAGCATAAATATGCATTAAAAAAAAATTGTTAAAGAAGAAATCAAATAAGAAATAGAATATTGTTCTAATTGACATTTGAATATAAGAATAGACTGGCCTATCTCTTAGCCAGTAATATATTTGTTTTTTGTAAGCTACATGATCTCTTTTTCTTTTATTGCATATAAAAATAATATATTTAAGAAAACATAGTTAATATGTAGTGTAATTATTTCTAACATTACAATTACTAATTAGAAATTCATAACAATAATATTTCAAACAACTTAGGTACTATAATGTAATCATCAGAAATATGGTCATGCCAATAACCTTAGCCTACTCCTGTGTGTGTATAAAGAAAAAAGTTGTCCTCCTTTAAAGCAGTCTTTATACTGAAAATGGCAGTATGGTCACAGGTCTTAGCCTCTTTATATATATAAAAGAAAAGTATTCCTTATTCCTATCATATTGTCCTTGTCTTATCATGGTAATGTTTCTGTTATCAGTAAATGTGACTTCTGTGATATTGATCATAAAAATTGGTTTGATAACTATGAATAAAAGTAAACAGACTAATAAGTTATCATTTATGTAATACAAAGGCTATTTTTGCAAATAAAAAATAACAACGGACGTAGCTCCATTCATTTACAAGATCTCACGTATTGCATTTGAATACAATCGACTCTGAATGTGACACAAGGTCGCTTATATTGCCTAAGACGACTCCAATTAGGAAAAAGGTCGGGAACATAACAGATATGGCGTTATGGTGAGCCCGCAATGATATCAGCACCAATTTATAATAATTTAATGAGTCACTCGTAGAACTCAATGAAAAGATGTGCCGGGCTTACTATGTAGGTAGTAAGACGTGTAAAGTTTACTAGATTTTAAATTTACAATAACTAACAATTAATTAATTAAGCAGAATAATTCTTATTTAAATTCTGCGAAGATTCACGAATAAATGATAGTAAATTGGGAAAGAATGCAAGAGAAAATTACCTTATCCAAACATTTCAGTTCCTCAGTGGGATAAACTGTTTTCTCGCACCTTGCGCAAGTTTTATTCATTTTGAACGCTTTAAAAACACAAACACTGTCGATAAATACAAGCACTGATATTTCACAGAGGAACACAAGTTTGCACGATTCACGAACAAAGTTTAGAATTCACTTTTTAATAAAAAACACTCAAGAGCACGTATTTCGGTGGTGCTTCGAACGCGCATGACAAAAAATGACAAATGGCGGCGGTTCAGTGATGTTACCATAACATAAATTAAATTCTACCAGTCATATTATTTTTGTACGAATTAACATTACCGAATATTAACATCTTAAATAATGAACAAAAATATGAAACCTGATTCTGCCGTTTAACTTCCAAACATGACAAAATCATCTAAATTACCGATTGCGATGCAATGTCTCGTACATATAAAAATAATAGGTTTTGCTAATATCTTTAGATTTCTTGACGGTTCTAAAATTATTTTGTTAATTTTGTTCTTTAGTAGATGAGAATATCTAAAACGAGAGTTTTCAGTATGGATATATTACCACCAAAGAATATACTTATCATTACCGTCTATAAATTTTCCTAATTTTAATATTGTATTTTAGGAACACTGAGTAAGCAAAAGCAAACTCTTTCGTTCTTCATACCTTTGATCGAGTATTTAAATAATGGATAATTTATGGAACTTTTATTGAAAATTATAGAAACAATGTTTTTAATCAAATTTAAGAACAAAGACACTTTTCGCGCTGTAAAACAGATAAAGCTTCGTTAAATAACTGCTTTGATGTTTGTATCATCTCGGTTAAATGATTATAATCGTCACGTTTTTCTTCTTCAATCATTCTCAATTTATCTTCCATAATTTTTAACTTTTCTTCTGATAATTCTAATTTATACTTTAAATCCTCCTTATCAAGCGAGTCATATGCTTCAAGTTGCTGAGATTCAGAGGAAGTCTCACTCGGTTTGTCAACTACTGCGGTCACTGATTGCTTCTTTGATACAGAAGTAGACCCCAGCCCATATTCATATATCTGTTCCCTATGTAAAGAGGTTTTAGATAGTCTCGATCCTCTTTTACAATCTTTTAAATTCTTTATATCCTCTTCAAGAGAGAGTATTCTTCTTTCAAGTCTACGTTTCCTTTCTTTTAATTTCCGATGGACAACCTCCAGGTCTTCCCACTTACGTCTTTCAATATCTAGTCTATTGTTGAGATTTATTACTAACTCGGATAGTTTTTTTATCTCGTTATCTGTAGCCGTTTTCATGGGTGTAAAGAAAACACTTTGCAAGGAACACTCCTCATACCTTAGAAGTTGTGCTCTAAGTTCATCGATTTTGGCCGTTTTTTCGGAAGCCTGTTTCCTAAGGGCATCTATTTTCGCATCTGTATTTTTAATCAGTTTCTGATACTCTACTATTTCACAGTTCATTTTGTTCATCTTAGATGTATTTTCTTTTAAAATTTCTTGATAATACAACTCTAAGCTCTTTATTTGATTCTGGAAAAAGTTATTACATTAATACGTTAATTTCTGACCTGTGACTTTATATATATTGTTGTATTCTAATATTTGTGGATACTAACCCTTTGTTCATTAATCAGTAAATCATCATGATTACTTTTCTCAACAAATGTCTGTATCTTTTGTCTAATAGTAGTAGCATCACACTCTAAATTTTTGATCCTACAGCGTGATCCATCCAATTTTTTCTTTAAGTCTTGATTCTCTTCTTTTAAAGTTTCCAAGTCTTTCATAGCTATATCTATTTCTTTCTTTCTTTTTGCTTCTATTTCTCTTATAACCTGTAATGTTGTATATAAAATTATAATACTTGTCGTTATTTATTTGTCACTAAAACTAAAGCATTCTCTTCAATGCTTTATTATTTATATCAAAATAAGTTTTTCAATAATCGTACCTGTATTTGATCTTTTCTTTTTGCTTCAATAAGATCTTTGTGTTTTCCATTCAATTTTTGTTCTAATTCACTGATCCTCGCCTGTAGTAATACTATTTGCTGAGCCCTTCCCTTCCAACCTGCCAAATCATTTTGTAGCTCTTTAATACTTGTAAATTTATCACCCAACTCTTGCTGGAGAATTTTAGTAGCTATTAGTATATCATTCTTTAATTCTAAATTTCTGTTTTTGCTTTCATATAATTTTCTATTAACCAGTGTCAGTTTATTATTGAGCTCCTTGAGTTCATCAGAACTTGTGTCGATAGGTTCGTCCTTGCATATGCATAAATCTAATTTTTCATTTTCTTTATTAATTAAACCAAATTGCATAATTTTTCTTTCTAAAGCGGCATTTTTTGTTTTATAGCCTTCAACTTCGGCTACCAAGTGTCGATTCTGTTTGCACAGTTCCGTAATTTTTGCACTAATAATGCCGGCTGATTTGGAAGATATGGCTGGTCCAGTACCAGATATTATATCACGGATACGTTGATTGAGATCGGAAACAGTTTTATTAAGTTCCTTAATTTCTTGATTTTTTGTAAAAACACATTTACGTAGTTCGTTATTTTCGCATGTCATTACCTAAAATATTCGTTATTCAAAGCATCAGTAAAAATATCATACCAAAAAATTAAAACAGACATCGTTGATAAATCAATTATTTACAAATGCAATGAAATAGAGGAAAATAAAGACGACAATATTACAAAGCTACTCAAAAATATAGAAAAGTTTATCAATAAACATAATAGCTCAATACATTATAAATGCAAATACCAATCTGTTTATTTTCTGTTAGTCTTGAACTAAACGGTTTAACGGTCTTAATGAAATTTGACATGAAAATCCAAGATGACAACTGTATCACGACAACGGCCATAGGCTACCATTTATCAAAGGTAACATCTGGTATTTATTGAATATGTTGCGTAAATTTCAAGATAATTCAATTGAATAGGCTGCTAACTGAGTCCGTTGCAAGCTAGAATTTACAACAGTTTTAATCTTCGTGAAAGTAACTTAAAAACGTAACTATAACCTAGCTACTTTTCTGTTTTTAGTTATACTTGCAAGTTATACGAGTATAGCATGATATACCTTTAATTGTTCAATGAGATGAGCATTTAGTTCTGGTGGATATAAAACATCTTCAGGATCTGGTTTATCAAGTGCTGCTAACATTTTAAGTTTCATCTCATCGGTTTCATCAATTTTAGTAGCCAAGTCTGTTAGCCTCTCCTCTTTAAAACTAGGTTTCGATCGAATTTTAGAAGATGATGTCTTCTTTTCCATTTTATAATAATAGTATTTTAAAAATATATGAGCTATATTTATAAACCAATAAGACTAAACATGACAGTGAGTGAAGTCTAAAACAGTGCCAATTCGATTTTTAAATTATAATTTGAAGAACAATTTTATTACTTGATAAAAATGACACTATTTTAACAAAATTTATCATCGAACTTACATATATACTTAGATATATAGGTATTTATTTCATAGATTTTTATTTAGTGTTGACATTTTAAGGATCTTTATAGTAATAGATATTTATTGTAGTTATTAATTTCGTTTCTCCGTTTCTGTTATAGGTATATACAAATTTAATTTTTTATGAACGCAACATACTATTGACTGCATACAATGCTGCCAATATAATCAAATTACAATAGCTATCAGTCTGTAAGTCAGTTCTACTCAATCATGTCATATCAGTCACTTATTTGACGTCCTACTAATGACAGCTGATTGAATTAATCAATTGTACAGTCAAAAACTCTTGTTAATATTATTTGTATAAATTAAAATTGTAATAAAATTTTTGTTTATTTTAAATTATTATTATTTCATGTGTACAGTGATTGATTGAACACCACTATTGTGGTATCCACTCGTAGTTGCGAATACCAGGTACTGTAGTATTTTGTCATTGCTATTGAGTCCTTATCATTTAGCAAACAATTCAATTTTACGCTTTATTCAGGTATTGTACAATACTATTAGCATATCAAAGCTATTTCTGTACTCATTTTAAAGATATATACGCAACCAATACCTGTTTCTGGTTAAAACTTGTGTTCAAGGTTTACCTATTAAATCAAAAAGTTAGAGGTGTACCAGAAAAGATGTTTAATTTAGTATGTATTTATTAATAAAGTCAATATGATCTGAAAAGGAAAGGTTAAAGTGACTAAAGCTTGCTTGGCTGAGACAGAAATTATAGATTTATTTATACATACAGCTTTCCAATTAATACTATATCCTTATAAGCTATTATCTGAAAAATTGTAATAATAAGATATAAGAGGTTCAAGTCAGTTGAACTTCTTTTATCTTCTTATTAGAATTTTTCGGATTCATTCATTCATATTTATTATGATATATGATATATATACTTCATTTTACTGACCATTAATTCTGTTATTTCAATTATTAACCGGGTCTTAACACGAATAATTTTATGGCAAATAAAGGTATTTACTTCTCTCGACGTTTCGACTAGGTTGCACTAGACATCGCTCTTAATAATTTAAATAATGTATATTAAACACAAAAGTTTAAAATTAACCATTAATTCTGTTCTATGAACATTTCAACAATTTTCATATGTAACCATAATATACTTATGTATTCATCAGCTACATCTTTATTGTAGTCAAGTTTTCCTAATCTAATAATTATAGTGTGCCTACAGCATAAACCATTAATGCAGGTGGGTGAATAGTTTCATTCATCATCTGCTTCAATTTGTTTTTCTCTTCCATTCATTCCTGTTCGCAGTCATCTCGTTATTTACTTCCTTTCTTACCATATCATCTTTCACACAGTACATCCATCTCTTTTTCAGCTTTTCTTCTACTCTTATAAAATATACATTCACATGTAACACAGTCCTTAAAATATTGTCTTCATGCCTATGCATTCCATGTCCATACCATAAAAGATGATTACTCTTGAACATCTCCAACACCAGGGCCACCTTCATACTTCCTCTAATGTATTTATTCTATAAAGTTCCTTTATCAGCTATTTAAAAAAAAGTTAGGGACAAAACTACTATATATATAAATTTTTATTCTAGCAACAATGCCAGGCACAAACCTTATTGTGCCGGTGGTGCTGTGGGGCAAACATGCTCCCACTCACTGCATCTCCTCAGTTTACCTTTCTCGAGATCAGAAGACACTTGTTACCGGGTGCTACGATGGCCAAATCTGTATCTGGGCGGTACATCCTGAGACTCTGAAGATGATACCGAGGTGTCTGCTGGTGGGGCATACAGCACCTGTCACCTGTTTGTCCAGAGCCTCCATCATACAAGTAAGTGATTTGACAATGTGTAAAGTTTCTTATTTCTCACACAAACAGAAAATCATATCTGGGCCGTTAATTAGGTCTGGTTAAGTAAACAGAAATTAATAAAATGTATTTAAAGATATTAAATTAGTTATTTCATTATCATTATACATTAAAAATAATATGACATACCATCTGACATTATCCCAGACGGGGTAGTCAGTCATTGCCAACTGTCAATGTTGTGGTGAACACAACACTTGACCTGCCCATATTTGACTCAGTCAGTATATTTTAAATCCAATGTGACAAAGACGCATACCGCAGTTTCTCGGCATAATATTTGGTTATGCCATTGGTGTTCTTTCACAAGACAGTCAGAAATATATATAGATACACAAAGTTTTTTGGGGTCAGTCAGATTTAAACTCACATTCTTTTGGGCGTAGTTCAGGATAGTAAACCATTAGGCAATGAGACTCTCATACATCATGACATAGCATATCCATCTATATGTATTATGTATATGCATATATATAGATACTTTCTTTATAAATACATACATAGAAAATACCCAGATCGATACAAATATTCAAAATCATGAATACAAAATGTTTGTACCATACGAGGAATCGAACCCGCGACCATCGAAAATAGGGCGGTATGCTAAACACACTACAACCACAAATGTATATTGGCGGGGCACCAGTGAAAGGTGATTAGTTTGAGGATGAAGTCAGCTCAGTGACCTTATCATTGCAAATTCACCATGAGTACTAGATGTCACAGGTGTTCTGTTGAACCTGTAAACAATATCGAGTTACAAGGTTTATAGTAAAATGTACCCTATTTTTATAACAGTAAAGTGCATTTATCTTTCCAGGACAATAACTACATAGTGAGCTCATCGGAGGCCGGCGAGATGTGTACATGGGATTTGGTTGATGGGAAATGTCGTGAAAGCGTCAAACTTACGCAAATACATACAAACATACAGGTAAATATATATATTGAACTAATGTGGGGTTACGTCTGTTCGGGTTACGGCCTCTGATTAGACTATATTCCAGTTGACTTCCACGCGGTTCCCTCTGGAAACTATTTGCATATCAGTCAGTACCTACTAGCAGACCTGGCCACGCGCGCGCCAAAAGTCCTTAAATAAAATAATATTGCGACTATACATTGAGATGTAAGCTATCCTATCTTTCAAGTTGGATCAAATTACACACAATGTGCAAATCAAATTTGCAATCGGTTCAGTTTAGGACTCCATCGCGGACAAACAACGTGACACGTAATTTTTATATATAAAGAATTATCCTAATTTTGACATAATAACAAAAAAGTTAACCACTATGTCTTAATATATACATTTCCCAATTACATGTGTTTGTCATGTATCCCCTCCAAAATGGCTGGCCCGATTTGGATGAAATTTTGTGTGTACATATCTTCAAATAGTTCCCTGGATGGTTAGAAAACGTAATTGAACCCAGTAGATGGCTCTTTTACGATCAGGTCTGCAATGTCCGATAGTAACTATGTATTTATATATGTATATAACTAGCTACTCGCCCCGGCTTCGCATGGGTACATGTATATTACACATATAAACCTTCCTCTAGAATCACTATCTATGAAATAAACAGTTTTAAAGTCCATTGCGTAGTTTTAAAGATTTAAGCATACATAGGGATGGACCGATACATATTTTAAGGAACGTGTTACATATGAATGTGGATGGTTATAAGGTCAGAGGAAGGCCGAAAAAGAGATGGATGGACTGTGTGAAAGATGATATGGTAAGAAAGGAAGTAAATAACGATATGACTGCGAACAGGGATGAATGGAAGAGAAAAACATATTACGACGACCAACAAATAAATGGGATAAGGAAGAAGCAGATGATGATGAGGACGGACAGACAGTAACCGCGACTTTATTTATATATTCTTTATTGCACTTTTAAATACAGTTCTAAACTTAAACATATACAAAGTGAGCAAAGGTGGACTTATCTCTAAGAGAGATCTCTACCAGTCAACCCAACAGTGTGGCATAGCTAGTGGTGAGTAGGTAACACATGTGCAATTAAAACTATTATGTTAAAATCTCCAAAAGTTGAAAAAATAAAATATTTAAAATTCAACATATTAAATAAAGTTTGAATTATATTATAATTATAATAAAATATACAATAATAAATAAAATAAACATTAATAAAAGTTATATATATATATATATATATATACATACATATACAATTACTATAGATATCTACATATATTACATAAAATACAAATAATAAAATACATGATGAAACGAATCATACTAAGGTCGATAAATAGTACGATTTCAACCTTTTCTTAAAACAACCGATTGATGGACTTTCCTGTATCTGTACTGGTAGTTTGTTCCATAACCGAGCAGCGCATTATTTTATACTATGTAATGATTCACAGGCATACCACATGTGCAACAGCGAAGATTTGCGTCTCTTCTGTAATGGGTATTATGCTGAGATATTGATAATGGACCCATTCTCACTCGAGATTCTGTTCTCTTTGAGTTCCAAGATGAATCCTGATTGGATATCTGCGTTGCATGTAAGTACTGTACATTTTATTATTGGAATTGAGTGCTTTATTTATTTTGACGGCCTCGGTGGTCTAGCGGTCTAGAATACAGATTTACTTCCGATGGTCGCGGGTTCGATTCTTCGCTCGGTGCAAATATTTGTATTCATGAATATGATTGTTTGTATCGGTCTGGGTGTTTTCTATGTATGTATGTATTTACAAAAACAAATCGTAAGTGTTTATATCAGTTGTCTAGTACTCGTAACACAAGCTCTGCTTATCGTGGGATTAGATGGCGCTGTGTTAATTGTCCAGGGTTATTATTTTTGTTTATTTATTTATTGCATATGGTTCTTTTAATACATTATGGTGCATCCGCTTGTGCTAATAGTATACGCTGGCGGAGCACCATTTTAATTCATAATCACATCTTAATCATACCACACAATCATTTAATTCATATTCCATAATAATAATTACAGGTTGCATCGAAATTTATGACTTAATATATAAGATATTTTAAATTAATTATTAAAATGTTTGTCTGTCAGTTCTTGCTAATCTCAGAAACGGTTGGACCGATTTTGACGGGATTTTCACTCGCGGATAGTTAATGTTATAAAGAGTAAATTCCTTTTTTATATTTTAGAAATTTTATTAATTTTAATGCGACGCAACAGAAGTCGCGTGCAACAGCTAATGTAAATAAGAGCTGTTCGTGTATTTTGGTGATGTTTGCTACTTACCATGGTATTAATTTGTAACTATACGTGTATATTTTTTCAGGTCTTGCGTCCGTCATCAAGGAAAGATGATGTGGTACTGGCTATATCGATTACCGGCACTGTGAAGGTAATTTTTTTTGCCGGCCTATAGGCAACTACCATAGTGTTTTTTTAATGAAATGGTACCCTCGCAAGCGCTAATAGTATACATTGATGGGGCACCAGTAAAGGATGATAATAATGCCGCATGGTATTAAGTCCGCCCTATGTACTTTAAAATTAGTGCATTAAAGTTTAAGTTTAAATAAATAAAATGAGCATGAGGTCAAGTCAGTTAGTTCATCGTGATAGATTCAGTAGGTTATTATTTATTATACATCTCATTTTTTAGGTATGGTCTCTTCTTGGTCACGAGAATAAGCAGTCGGAGCCGATATACGAGAACGAATCGAAGCAGATTCGATGCCTGAACGCGTTGTCTCTCAACTGTTGTGCCTACAACCAGCGCACTGTGCTGATCGTTTGCGCTAAATATTGTCAGATTTATGATGCCGGTAATGTTTTTTTTTTATCGTTTTATCATCATCACTATCATCATCATCATTGCCATCACCATCATCATCATTATCCATCTATCATTCTGAGACGAACTTGTTAGAACTCCATGGAGATACCGTGCGGTGTCCCTAGCGAGCAGTTCTACAAGTAGTTTCCGGGACTGTGACCCGGGTGTAGGTTTAAGGGCCCCTTAGCCGCTGTACGTGAACACTCACACTTACCGCTCGTGTTTCGCCGCCTGCCCAGACAAATCTGGTAGGAGCCTACTAGTGCAGCTTTAGATACACGTACTTATTGCAGTTCTAAACAGGCCGATCTCTTTTAGAAGATTGTAGAGAGATTTCGTTAGTATACCTCTCGCTCCCACTTCGTCCGCATATAAATTAACCACATAGCTATTTTTCGTTAGTTCGCATTTTTATTCATGTAGTTTTATTACAGACTCTTATGATATCACAAATTTTTAATGTTCAAATTTCAGAGTGTTTTTGTGTTCAGAAGACCTGACAAGACAATCAGCTCATATTCCTTTCAAATGAGCTTGTACATGTTTACAAAAATACACATCAATGGACTGACCACCAGCATATGCAATTGCAATTTTGACAAAAGGAAATAGAGTAATCAGTGTCCGTAACTCGAATAGACCAGTCCCCGCAAGCATCACCCGTTCACGAGTATGACGTATTAATATAATAATTATGTTACGTAGGTGATTTCTCCGTGCTCTGTTCCATCCAAGCGCCGCGTGGTGAACGCTGGATGTCAGGGGACTTCCTCGCGCCTGATCGGGTACTGGTGTGGTCCACAGAAGGGAAAGGTTACCTGTTTCGACTACCTGCTAAGTGAGTTATTGAACGGTTGTTAACAATAGTTAAATTAGTCTTTAAACGAATGTATTACGTATCAATTTCGTATAACCCAGCTGATGAAATTGTAAATAGGTGAATTTGTGAGTTGTTACAATTGTGTATTGGACATTAAACAATTTCATGGATGAATAGTTCATTCATTAAATTATTGCAATACACAAATTTACAAAGGTATTACATCATTGTTGTAAGTATGGATGGATGGATGTTTGATAATCTGTATATATATATAACTCAAAGGTGACTGACATAGTGATCTATCAACGCACAGCCCAAGCCACTGGACGGATCGGGCTGAAATTTGGCATGCAGGTAGATGTTATGCCGTAGGCATCCGCTAAGAAAGGATTTTGATTAATTCTACCCCCAAGGCGACAAAATAGGGGATGAAAGTTTTGTATGAAACTTTGTCAATTTCAAACCGATCGGGCTGAGACTTTGCATACATAAAGCTACTATGACGTACGCGTCCCCTAAGAAAGGATTTTGATGAATTCCACCCCTAAGAGGATGAGGAAGCAAAAGCTAGTTTTAAAATATATTTTGTAAGTTGGGTGAAATCTAATGAGAAATGTTAAGTAAGTGCGATGCAGACGCAGCTGTGCGAGTAGGTAGTTTAAAATATGAACACAACTAGTAGTAAATAAAGTATTTTTTGCGTGAAAAAGTAACATACATACATCCATCCATTCATCCATACATCCATACTCACAAACTTTCGCGTTTATAATACTAGTAAGATGTGGAGGGTGGAGTCAAAGACAGGACTTCGATGCCATATTTTTTCGAACGATAAACAAAGTTCTACTGTATAGACTTAGCTGGGTTATAGGAAATTAATCTTAATATGTATATCATATAGTAGTTATTTTAATATAATATAATGGCGTTGTGATGGTGTTGGACTTTGGTTTGGTTGCTATTGGGTACTTTAAAATGTAGTTAATATGATTTCAGTTTATTGCTGTGCATTTTATGAGATTGCTTTATAAATTAGCTAATTGTTCTCTCAGCTTTGGCTACATAAATCCTTATCGTCCCTTATCTTGTTTTTTTAATGATGGTGTCAGTTTTTCTCATGTGTATGCAAAAATAAGTATACATGTAACTTTTTTTATATATATATTTTTTAATTACATCAAGAGTGTCATCTTAGTAGTTACAAGATCGCTAGTTTATATCTGGCTAACATTAAAAATCATTATATATCATAACTTATTTCTTGATATATCTGAAACTTATATAGATGTACTTATATACAAAAGTATATTTCAGTTGTCTAGTACACAAGCTCTGCTTGCTTCAGTATGAATTGTCTATGGTTATTATTATTATATATATTTTTTCTCTTACATTATATTCTCTTGTGTGTGTGTGGTTTCTGGTTTTTCTGAAACATTTTTATTTTTATTGTCAGTGTCAATGTCAATCCCACAAAATACAAAATACAAAATTTGTATTCATGAGTATGATTGTTTGTATCGATCTGGCTGTTTTCTATGTATATATTTACAATAAAGTCTTATATGTATGTATAGTACCAGATCATACATAGTACAAGAACTGCTTAATTTAAAGTAGATGATGAATGTGTAGTGTCCAGGGTTCTTTTTTTTCTGGATTGGCATGTTGGTGCATTTGTCAAAGACAATTATCCAGAGTTATTATTATCATTAAGACTTTTTTTAAAGTGTCCATTACAACCAAACCAAGGTACAATCACATTATACGTACAATTAAAAGCAATGAATCATGCATTATACTATTCCATGCCATGCGTTGAAATAAAAAAAGTTTTTTTTATTCATATTAACATTAATAAACAAGTAATCCTTTCAGATGCTAATAACTTAGAAATTATTAATATAATTTGGCTGTATGGGCGCAGTTCCCTTTGCCTTTCTTTTAAAGGGTAAACAAAATAAAAAATAATTGAAATTATTTTGTATATATAACATGCATAATGTTCAGACGCTTCGTTCTGTCTTTTTAACCGTAGTATTAGATGTTTCAAATAAAAAAAGAACTTTTTTTAATTGCGTCTTGGCTTGGGAATGAAATAATCATCATTAGATATTCATTCTAGCACTTGCCTGTATATTCTAAATTGATTTTTATTACGTTGATAATATTACTAAAGTGCCAGGAAATTAATAAAATGTCACTGTAGAGTATTCAGTTATAAGTATATATTGTAAGTAAAGTCTACTAAACTGTATGTAATCTGGAGTGCTTATATCTTTTAAATTACTCAACGGATTTAAATGCAGTTTACAGCAATACATAGAGTGATATAATAATAATAATAATAATTTATTTATTTGCCTGCTACATGGTAATTTTGATCTTACAATATAATATAAGTACACGACATGCAGCACCCCGTAGGGGATGCAAATATTGAAATCGATATCATAATTATTTTAATACAATATGTCATTAAATTTCTTTTCATTAAAAACATTATAATAGGTACCACAATAATGATTCAAGAGGAAGGTTTATATGTATAATACATGTGTGTTATAGTATAGAACAAGCCGAGAAATTCAAAGATTTGTAATGCATCCGTGCGAAGGGACGGGTCGCTAGTGCTAATAAGCGTATATATAAAGCAAAAACTCTATACCTAGTTAAATTATAATTAAACTCAATATAAAATATGATTTAATGGATTTGTATATTTTGTTTAATTTCGCATTCTACTATTAGCATGTGGGAGTCTACAAATATTCAGTGCGGAAACCTGACCACCGCTACTGATAGTGTTTCGACTTAGACCATTAACGGATCCACACCCAAATTCTTAAATTGGGAAGTTTCTGAACTATATTTTTCTATATTATATATGTATAAAAAATATTAATACCATTGTAATATAGTTTCTAATGTAATGACTATAGGGATTAAAATAATTTACTCAAGCTTGTTCATTGTATTATGAAATATTTATTTTTTAATGCTATCTATGTAAGCATGTGCTTATTATCCAGATCAAATAAGAATATAAAGGTATATTAAAAAAAATCAGATTTATACTGATAAATGTGAAATGCAATATATGCTGGTGGGGTACCAGTGGAAGATGATAAAATGAGCATATGATCAGGTCAGTTAGCCCATCGTGGGAAATTCACCTGGAATTTATCACGATGGTTTCCAGAGGGAACCGCGTCAGACATGGTATATTGCTAGCAATGGGGTATTAGACCACATTACTAACAAAACTATAAATATATTCATTCATTCATAATTTAAGAGCTACGCTCTTGTCGGTGGAGCTCTTGCCACTTTCCGCGATCTTCTATAAATATATATAATAGTATAAATATTATGGCATGATGGGGACAAATTTATCAGAAATTAACTACTTCGTTTTCCAGAGCAGACTGTGTAGGTCTACCTGTTAAGGTATATTGCTAGTATTGGGATAAGTGACTAAATTGCTAGCAACGTACCATGTCAGTCCACCTAGATTTTATTCAATGGATGGTAATGGAATGGTGCACCCGCCTGTGGCCTGTATGCGCTGGCGGGGCAACAGTGGAGTATGATACGATGACCATGAGGTTAGATCAGTTAGCCCATCGTGACAAATTCACCAGGAATTTATCACGATGGTTTCCGGAGGTTAAAAGGTTGACTTGGTAGATTGCTAGCAATGGGGTTATCAATCCACATTACTGATAATCCGCTTTCTTCCCTAGTCCAACTAGATAATAACTTTGATATACAGAAATTCTAAAGTATAAATATAATTTTTGTTATAGCAAACTCCGCGGACGGGCTCTCAGTAGGTCAGCACCAATTTCTTTGTATAATTGAATATTATTTGTTTTTTAATTTGTGATCCGTACCTTGTTTTGCTTGCACTGTATAGTTACGCTTAGTTTATTTATTTGAATTTACGAAATATAGTTTAATGCGGTATATATTCTATATTTTAATATATTATAATAGTATATGTATATATAGGCTTTTGTCTAATTTATCTATAATATTCGTAGTGGATGTTTATAACTTACTCTGTGCATTTAAAAGTGGGATCTGTATTGTAAAAATGGCGGGAATGGCCAAACTAAGTGTGCGGCGCGAATTCGCATTTTATTTAAATACATTGAATTATACGCGCACCAAATAATAGGTTACATTAAGTCACAGAAAAATGTTTTGTGAAATTGACTTTATGGTTAAAATTTTGAAGCCGAATACACAGAAAATATTTTTGTTAGTTAATGCAATTTATTATTAGGCGTTCGTGTAGACCAGGGGCTTAATTATGTAACGCTGTGCATATTTTAATTATACGATATTATATTTAAACGTTTACAACCTTATTCATAAACACTAAAAGCCTAAATTAAATTTTAATTGTTGCAGTCTGTTTTGTCTCTTTTCTTTTAAATTAGGTCAATTGAAAGAAAAGGATTAGACAGTTTTTATAGAATTGAGTTTAAAATGAAGGTATTTTTATATTTTTTGTTCATTTGTTTGCACGTGGTGTTGGGGTACATATTGTAAACATTTGGGATTATATATTTGAATGATAAAATATTAAGTTAATTAAAATTATACTTTATGCATATAACAGGAAATTCCTTTTTTGCAATACTATGATTTAGTCATAGATTTCAAAACTGTCATGTTGATTAGACATTAATTTAAGTCAAATATGGGACTGAGTTTTTTAAGTAAGTTTGGTTATATATTTGGTTATTTTCTTAATTTAATTGAGAGTTAAAAAGTTTCGGATTGCAAAAATTAAATAGTAGAATAAAATGAAAGTCTGTCGGTAGATTTTATTTTATATATTATACAATATATAAAAGAAATAATATAATATTATTTTAATAAGAGAAAAAGAATGGTCAATTGTGTAAAAATAATTTTATTCATCAATTAATTTTATATACCACTTATATATGAATAGCATTGGATTATAGTATTTATATCTCGCGTATAAGAGTTGAAATTAAATTATACTTATTATACTTAAGGGGAAAATAGGGTTGATTCGTTTGAAAAAGGTATATTTTGTGATTCTTTTTTATGAAACAGTTAAAATCTGTTTTTAAATCGAATGGTACATTGTTGTATGATTTTTGAAAAATATTTTGTAAAATTTTTATGAAGAAATATTAAAAAATATGCAGCAATTATTCAGGAGCGTCTGGAAAAAAAGATGAATGGTGATGACATTCAGAACTGCTATCAAAATAAAAAAAAAATCGATAAATAAAAAAAATCCCTATTCCCCCTTTATGTAACTTAATTTTAAATTGTACTTGTCAGCTTATATAATTGTATTGTCAGCATTTAACATTATGTTGGATATAAGTAGATATATTATTTTAATATGGCGTTATTTTATGTTTACAGTCTATATATTTTTATGTTTAATTGCTTTCCGCACATCCATTTTGTCCCATCTATTGTTTAATATTATTTTAATGTGGTAATAATGTTTTTGTACATCATTAAAAATAAGAGTGTGTTCACAGTTGACTTGAGGTAGGAATTATACGTAAATAATGCATTTACTTTCAATTTTGTACGCTTAGTTAAGAAAAAAAAGCTTATTTCCATCCTCAGAATGCAATATATCATCAGTATAAATGTCATTAAGATTGGTCTAAAATTTTAAACGTGAAAAGGTAGAATAAAGACAGACTTTCGAATTATAATATTGATATGCATTAACTTTTTCTATGACACCGTATCAATTGTGAACACGCCCTAATTTCGTGTCGAAAATATACATATCTTGTGAAAGAAAGGGTAAAATTAAAATAAAAAGTCATTTATCATCATTTTAGCTCCCCTCAGATCGATCCCCCGTCCAATTCCAACCGGGACCGATGTTACGACGGCCTGAATCGAGGTTCGAACCCCTAGCGAGGCCCTCAGACTAAAGTCGTATCCGTCAGGCGGGAGTTGGCCTTCAGTCGTTCCATAAGTCCTTCCCCGGGTTTGGAGTGCCATCTGCACTCGCCCCCTATCGTCCGGTGAAGCTGTTAAGGCCAGCTGCGGCCAACAGCTTTAGAGTAGTCCGAAAAAAAAATCATTTTAGCCGCTTATGAACGTCAATTATTTTAATGTAATATTTTTCCCTGCCATCCAGTTCAGTATACAGTTTTATAATACTACTATCCTATATCCTACATGAATAAATGATTTTTTATTTCATTTGTCTACAACCCTTTTCGTTACAATTTTGTATGTTCCCTATTTGTTTTTTTTTATTTGTTCGATGTCTCATTTATATGGTGGATTCTTATGGAATAACTTTTGCAGCTCTGTCCCGGATCATAAAGGCTTCCATGGACCTACAGTGGAACATGACAGCCCAGTGTTGTATGGTATCCTGGCGCATCCAGACAATAAGGTTAGTGTATTTGATAGCCCTTGTGGTCTAGCGGTGTAGCACACTTTACTTCCGATGGTCGCGGGTTAGATCCTCGCACGCTACAAAAATTGGTATTCATGAGTATGAATTTTTGAATTGGTCTGGGTGTTTTCATAAGACGAGTATGAGGTCAGGTCAGTTAGCCCATCGCGACAAATTCACAAGAATTTATCACGATTTTTTCCAGGGTAAAACCGCGAGGTCAGCCTGACATGGTATATTGAATGCCATGGGTGAGATACATCATTAGTCCACATTACTAACAATCCTTCCCCCCGCGAATTATTAACCCTACTTTAATATTGGAGCTTGGAAATATGTAGAACAGGTTTCGACATAGTTCAGACTCCAGACAAGGAATAACAATTGTTTTATTCTCTTGAAAGTTTAGGGCAGATTTATTTTTGTCTGATGTGTCGTGAGTTGATTACTAGTTTTCACAATTATATGTCCTGTTCTGACACCTTCTGATGATATTTTAAGTAATGCACATGTAGCTCTAGGAAAGGGAGAACTCCGACGCGTCACAACACAACCCTTGAACATTTGTCAGACGAGAGATGACGCCTCATTGCTACAAACCTCCGTTCTGACTCAACATGGATCGTTTCTGATGAGATACAACAGAAGCCATCAAAAACACGACGTATAACTAGTATGAACGTTACAATACTAAATGTACTTAACCGATACCTTCCTGCGCGTCATGTCACGACACATCAGACAAATATAAATGCACCTTAAGACATGTGTATTGTCCTGGGTAATTATTATTGTTTTTTTGCAGCTGCTCTCGTGCCCTCCAGCGATGCGTTTAGTCATCACGTCAGTGGGTGGTAAACAGCGCAGACTGTTGTTACGCGGCGATTCAGCAGGCGTGGTCTCCATATGGAATGTTGATGATGCAGCCGTACCCACTCCTAACGTAACACCCTGTATGTATAATTTCATAAACTGTCTTTACACGATATGTTCTACGAGGTTCGAATCCCTAGCGGTGCCTAGACTACAGTCGTATCCGTCAGGCAGGAGTTGCCCTACAGCTGCTCCATAAGACCTTCATTTGTTTGGAGTGCCATCTGCACTCGCCCCCTATCGTCCGGTGAAGTTGTAAAGGCCAGCTGGTACATAATATTAACATTACAGATAAATTAATCAAATCGCATCAAACCATAATCACAGATAATTAATTACAGCCTGATGACAGATCTGCACTACTATACTTTGGCACTCGTATTACGCTAAGACAGTAACTTTAGTACAATATAACCCCATAAGTCCTTCCTTTGGTTTGGTGTGCTATCTGAACTCGCTCCCTATCGTCCGGTGAAGCTGTAAAGGCCAGCTGGAGCAAACAGCATTATCATCGTCGGCATGCGACGCCCATGGTACAAGTGTGCGTGATCATTCTGTGGGACTAACATGTCATGCCACTTATCCTGTAATTTCACTGCCTAATCTGCACACTACAACCGAAATACAGCAAGTAAAGCAAGCTGATTGGCGGCTGAAATTGGTGAGACTGAGTTACACACGTAAACGATTTTTTACAGTACTCGGGTAAACATCTTACCACGCACAGACACGTTATGGAATCAACTTGTATTTCCGAACTGATACGAAATTGAAACCTTCAAGAAAAGAGCTTATTTCTTAATGGGTGCTAGCCTTTTAATAAATAACCTCTTTTTTGAAATTCCCCTGGTGTTGGTAATCATTTACCATCGTGTAAATTCCAAGTCCATTTGTACCCTACGCTATGAAACTAATCATGTGAGTCCCAACCTCTTTTGTATCCTATGCTATAAAGCTATTTTTGTTTAGCTCACGCGCCTGTAGTGATGACGAGTTTGGATATGGCGTGGGCGGAAATGAACCCCAGTCCCGTTGGTATATTGGACCAACTCCACCATCACGATGAGTCAGGTATATGGCATATCTATTTTTTTTTTAATTACTGAATATTTCGAGACGTGAAATAATATTTAATACTAGATGACCCAACCAGAACCAACAAGTTGTATATAAAATATAAAGTAACAACACAATTATTTGAAAGAGCAACACGCAAGTTTCTATGTCATTCTTCTTGTTAATAGACAGCTTTCCGAATGAGCGGTTGATTGAAAAAAATGTGATAACTAATCAAAAGTGCTTCAATGTAAGTTTATTTGAAGAAATGATTTTATATTATACTCTATTCATCAATGTTTTCAGAAACTTGTAGGAGTCTTCTGATAAATAAAGATGCAGTTTTAGGTAATGACGGCATAAAAGTCATCTGTTCGTGCACGAGATGCACTACAGATAAGAGTAGGGTTAACAAAATAGTAGTAGGTACTTACTAAACTATTGTGTTCTGAATCATGGGAAGCATTAAGATGCACTTGTTCATTACCAGTTAAACATATGTATATACTTTTAAATATAAGTGTATATTTATTTTACAAATGTAGAAATTATGTGATGCAAAGAATATTATGTGATACAATTTTTTGTGATAAGAAATAAATAAATAAAAATTAATTCCTAAAATTAGTACAATATACTTATAATAATACCATGACATAATTAATTAATGTAATTTATACATTTAATTAAATTGGAGTATCTGTTTGTAATATTGAAATAACCGTTTTTACTACATGCATGTAAATATAAGTACGGTACATATACCAAAATAACATTTTTTACATTTTTTGTCTGTCTGTCTGTTTGTTCCGTCTAATCTTTGAAATGGCTGGACCGATTTTGACGGGACTTTTATTGGCAGCTACCTGATGTAATAGAATAACTTAAGCTACATTTATTTTAGAAAATAAAGTTAAATTCCATGCGAACGAAGTCACGGGTACAGCTAGTTTATAATGTAATCTTAAATTGAATCTGTTGTTAATTGTTGCATGTCCGAAAGGGTATAACTGTTGAAACATGTACTGAATACCTACATATATTGTTATATCACCTACAAATTAATGTACCCACACAGTTAGCAATAAAGATATATTCTATTTTATTCTATTTGACCTTTACAGAAATCAAACTGACGGCCTCTATATATCTTCTCGCCGCCAATCGTCTGGTGGTAGGGCGGGAGGACGGGTCCATTGTGATAGTGAATGCAACGCATACAGTGCAACTACAGTTGTTGCATGGCAGCCATCAACAGTTGGATGGTATGTATGAAATTTAATAATAATTGATTTCTCAGACAACATGAACCATTTTTTTAGTAACAGTTTAGTAACATAACATATACTATGTTAGTAATCATTACATAGTATAAAACAAAGTCGCTGTCGCTGTCTGTCCCTATGTATGATTAAATCTTTAATATTTTTTTTGGATTTTGGAACGATTTTTAAATATATAGAATGATTCTAGAGGAAGGTTTATATATATAATACATGTACACCCGTGCGAAGCCGGGGCGGGTAACTAGTTACTAGTATAAAATAAAGTCGCTGTCGCTGTCTGTCCCTATGTGTGCTTAAATCTTTAAAACTACGCAACAGATTTTGAAGCGGTTTTTTTCTAATACATAGAGCGATTCTAGAGGAAGATTTATATATATAATACATGTACACCCGTGCGAAGCCGGGGCGAGTAGCTTGTTGTTAATAATTAAAAATATTTTTTCTCCCATTAAGATTGGCCACCTCATCAGTTGCTGCTCGGACATAACGGTCGAGTCAATTGCCTGCTATACCCACACCATGTGCATCCAAGGTACGTTGAATATTTTTTTTTATATTACGACAGTGGAAACCAAGCCTTTGGCCCATCTGATGGTAAACAGTTACTGTTGGAAATTAAACTTCTTTGTTAATACTTTTTTATAACCATATATTTTTAATGTTACTGTCACTGTTCTTCTTTTGTTTTTTCATTGCAATTGATCTTTTCACAATATACGGAAGCAAATTATTTTCATTTATCCACAATGATCTAGTTTTAATACAATCACCAACCAACTGGGAAATCCATAATACTCGCCAACAGTTGCCGTAGCCTATGGACGCCTGTAACACGTAGGGTGTCACGTGCGCGTTGCTATTAATTGTAGCTTTTAATGTTTTAGATTGGTACTAGATGGCGCTGTGTGAATTGTCGTGAGATATAATTATTAGTAATCAAGTATAAATACAATAATCGGAATATAAAAAGTCGAAGGAAGTTTTTTTTGTGAAGCAGATGATGATGCATACATATAAATAAAATTGGAGTGTTTGTTTGTAATATTGAAATAACCGTTTTTTACTACGTGCATATGATTATAAATACGGTACATACACGAAAATAATATTTTTTACAAACTTTGTCTGTCTGTTTGTTCCGGCTAATCTCTGAAATGGCTGGGCCGATTTTGACGGGACTTTTTTTAGTAGGTAGCTGATGTAATAAGGAGTAACATAAGCTACTTTTATTTTAGAAAAATAATGTTAAATTCACGGGAACAGTTAGTATGTTATATATTTTTCTTTTTTTTTTTTATCTTTAGATACGACAAAGCCCATCTGGTGTCCGGCGGGATAGATTTCGCCGTCTGCCTGTGGGATCTGTTCAGCGGTGCATTGTTGCACAGATTCTGCGTCCACGCTGGGGAGATCACGCAGCTGATCGTGCCGCCATCTAATTGCAGTGTGAGTCTGATTTGTTTAGTTTTCTATCAAGCTTATGGTCTATGGCCGTGCGTGTCACTTATATTAGAGTTTTTTTTTACTTTTTTTTTATTGGGAAGTTTGGGCTATTGTCAGGTCCTAAGACGTGCAACACTGCGACCTGTATAGATCTATTGTGCTCGCCATTACCTATATTAGAGCTTACTTACCAAGTTTTATTTTTTATTTCACTCAATATGGTTTCACTGCCGGCAAGTCTACTACTGATGCAGGTGTAGCGCTTATTACACATATATTCGAATCATGGGAAAAATCACAGGATGCTCTCGGCGTTTTTTGTGACTTGTCGAAGGCGTTTGATTGCGTAGATCATGAAACACTTTTGTACAAGCTCAAACACTATGGTATTAGAGATAATGACCTTAGTCTAATGAAAACTTATCTAGAGGATAGGGTGCAAACTGTAGATATTGATGGTGTAAAGTCTAAGGGAACTAATATAAAAATGGGCGTTCCTCAAGGTTCAATATTAGGCCCATTTCTCTTTTTAATTTATATAAATGACCTTCCCTACATGGTAGAGAAAGTTGCAGACATAGTGTTATTTGCGGATGATACTTCGTTAGTGTTTAAAATTGGTCGCCAATGTAATCAATTAGACGATGTAAATTATGCTATCTCTGCTATACTAAATTGGTTCACATGTAATAATCTATTATTGAACTCCAACAAAACTAAGTGCATTAAATTCACGCTGCCTAATGTAAAACAAGTAAATACGCAGCTATTGCTTAATGATGAAATAGTAAATTTTGTTAATGATACAGTTTTTTTAGGAATAACAGTGGACTCGAAGTTACAATGGGGGCCCCATATTTCAAAATTAGCCAGTAGACTTAGTTCTGCTGCTTATGCAATTAGAAGGATAAGGCAATTAACAGACGTGGCGACGGCAAAACTTGTATATTTTAGTTATTTCCATAGCATTATGTCATATGGCATACTGCTATGGGGTAAAGCTGCCGATATAAATACTATATTTATTTTACAAAAGAGAGCCATACGTTCTATTTATGGTATGGGTTCTAGAGAGTCATTACGTCAATGCTTTAAACAATCAAATATCCTCACCGTTGCCTCACAGTACATTTATGAAAATATTATGTATACAAGGAAAAACTTAGATAGTTTCAAGAAACTTAAAGACTGTACAAGTAGAAACTTACGCAATAAAAATAAGCTAATTTTACCGAAATGCCGTCTACACAAAGTTAGTAATTCATTTTATGGTAATTGCGTAAGATTCTATAATAAACTGCCAGAGTCTACGCTAAATCTTACAGAGAGGCAATTCAAATCTTATATTAAACAAATGTTATGTAAAAAAGCCTATTATAAGATAGATGAATTTATAGATGATAGCAATATATAGCAAGAATAAGTTTATTTGCGGACAACGTTATAATTTTAATTTTCATACTGCTTTCTTGATATATGATAGCGTAGCGGCTTTTGTATTGATTGCCGCATGCATCCTTATGTAAAGTGCGAATACTGTAACTACCATATAGTAATTTTTGTAGCTGTGACGTGGTCGTGTGGAATGAGTAGTCATGCTCACTAAAATGTCCAGACATGTGGCGGCGTGGTGGGCCGGGTCAATGGGCTCCCTAAAATATGGTCGAGCGCAGTGATGGCTGGCTCATCCGTCATACTCGTGAACGAGTGCTGCTTGTAGGGACTGGTCTGCTTTATCACTACGACTGATTTAATCTTATTGCATGATTATATTTGACCCAAAAAATTAGTGCTTGTTGGTAGTTTGTATTCACACGTTTCGACTTGTAAATGTAAACTTACAAGGATTATTTAAAAGAGCAACACACAAGTTTCTTGCTCGTTCTTCTTGTGATGAGACAGCTTTCCGAACGAGTGGTAGATAAAAAACAAATTGTTATGACTATTCAAAAGTGCTTAAATTAAGTTTATTTGAATAAATGATTTTCTATTCTATTCTATTCTATTCTATTTATTTTCTATATCTAGATTTTAGTAATTTTTAGTGTTGCACTCAAAATTGTATACATGGCTTGATGGTTCATTCATTGATGCTATTCTAAATTGTATAACAGTAAACCTTAAATAAAGAAATAGTAAGGCGTAAAAATTGAATAATAGAAATTAATATATAAATACTAATAACTTGCATTGACAGCCTTGGTGATCTAGCGGTTTAGCACACCGCTTTATTTCTGATGGTCGCGGGTTCGATTCCTCGCACGGTGCAAACATTTGTATTCATAAATATGATTGTATCAGCCTGGGTGTTTTCTATGTATTTACAAATATAATATAACTCAAGCTCTGCTTAGCGTGGGACTAGATGGCGCTGTGTTGTCGTAATTGTCCAGGGTAACCCGTTATTTATTTATTTAAATAAAGAAAGAAAAATAGTAAGTCAACATTAATAGTCCAGCCGCTAGCCTTATGCTGAAGTGTTTTTTTTTGTTTCAGACAAGAATTCAGAAATGCATCTGCTCCGTAGCTTCAGATCACAGCGTTACGTTGCTGAGTAAGTTTCTCATCTATACAATAAATATTGTAATTTAAAAGTAACAGCTTCTCACTAAATGCAATTGAAATTACAACAAATAAAAGTAAGTGAAGTGTCTGTTTGTAATTTAAAAGTAACAGCTTCTCACTAAATGCAATTGAAATTACAACAAATAGAAATATTGTAACTTGCATAAAAAATTGATTAAAATATTTTTTGTCTGTATGTTTGTTCTTGCTAATTTCTGAAACGGCTAGTCTAAAGTCTTTCACACGCAGATACCTAATGTTATAAGACCAACTTAGGCTATTAAAGATAAACCATAGCCTTTTGTGCTCTAATGAGGAGGGGTGTTATCAGTTCGTACCTATAAACCGTTTTTGAAATACTTCGAGTGCGTACATTTACCCGCTGCGCACACTTGCCCCACGTGACTCTATTAATCTGTTCTCAATTTGACCACAGACTTTACAATAAACAGAAGAGTATAGAGTTTATACATGTATTATATATAGTGTGTGATGTTTTTTTTAATTAAATATAAGCGGTAATTGAGTGAAATATCATACTATGGGAGTATGATATCCGCGTTTTTTATTCGCAAAGTTTCTGCTTCATGTATTAATATTATGTATTTTGTAGGTCTAGCAGAACGGAAATGTGTGACGCTAGCGTCCCGGCACTTGTTCCCCGTGGTTACCATTAAGTGGCGACCAGCAGATGATTTCATGGTGGTAGGATGCAGTGACGGTACCGTCTATGTGTGGCAGATGGAGACCGGCCATTTGGATAGGGTGCTGCATGGTATGTTATATTTAAATAAAAAAAATATTTTTGTTTTGTAATTATTTATGTGAGGGATAAGAATACGATGTTGCCGGTTGAGATGATGTATGTGACTGATGATAATGGACTGACAAAAGGTATATAAAAATATTGATCTTATATCTATACATATAAATAAAATTGGAGTGTCTGTTTGTAATATTGATATAACCGTTTTTACTACATGCCCATGAATATAAATACGGTACATACATCAAAATAATACTTTTTACAATTTTTTGTTTGTTCCGGCTGATCTCTGAAATGGCTGGACCTTTTGACGGGACTTTTATTAGCAGATAGCTGATGTAATAAGGAGTGACTTAGGCTACTTTTAGTTTAGAAAAATAAAGTTAAATTCCACACGGACGATTTCGCGGGTACAGCTAGTACTATGTAGTATTTTCCTATTGTTATAATAGGAAAATATAAGGTCACACACAGTTTGGACACGGCAGTGCTTAGTAGACAATATTGAGTGTGTCTAGGTAAATGTGTCCCTTACAGATGTCCATTCCAAATCTTCTTTATCAGTCACAGAACAAAAATTGTTCTAATATTTTTTTTCTACTGAACTATTTATCTTATGATGGGATGATAATGAAATGGTGCACCCATGGTGCTCACCTGCGCTAACTGTTTATGGATGATGAGTATGAGGTCAGGTCAGTTAGCCCATCGTGGTAAATTCACCATGAATTTATCACGATCGTTTCCAGGGGAATCATGTGGATTAGTGAAAACATTTTGCGTTTGTCAGGTATGATTGCTGAAGAAGTGTTAGCTGCTTGTGATGAAACGGTGTCTGATGACCTTGGTGGGTCCATAGCGGTGGGCTCCAGTGACCTTCAGGGACTGGCGAATCCTGCTGTACACTTCTTTAGGTAAGACAATTTTTTTATAATTTTTCTCCTATTTGCTATCAGTCCTGGTACTATAAACAGATCTTTTGAGTATAGGAACTGATACCGGAGTGTTCACTCCAGAACGAGGATCTTTTCTTCAAATTATTACGAAACATTATATAATATCGCTTTGTTTTAGGCGCTTAGGGTAGTGATGTTCAAATATGTATATATGTATTTTTTTTATTACTATACCTATAGTGTTTATTTTATTACTCGCGTCTGTTAAATCGCACACGCTTTTGTGCGTGTCGTGTAAATGCACCTATAGTGTTATGTGAATACGCGCGTTTGTTAAATCGCGCACTTTCCTGAGTGTGTCGTGTAAATGCACCTATAGTGGTTATGTGATTACGTGCGTTTGTTAAATCGCGCACTTTCCTGAGTGTGTCGTGTAAATGCACCTATAGTGTTATGTGAATACGCGCGTTTGTTAAATCGCGCACTTTCCTGAGTGTGTCGTGTAAATGCACCTATAGTGGTTATGTGATTACGTGCGTTTGTTAAATCACGCACTTTCCTGAGTGTGTCGTGTAAATGCACCTATAGTGTTATGTGAATACGCGCGTTTGTTAAATCGCGCACTTTCCTGAGTGTGTCGTGTAAATGCACCTATAGTGTTATGTGATTACGTGCGTTTGTTAAATCGTGCACTTTCCTGAGTGTGTCGTGTAAATGCACCTATAGTGTTATGTGAATACGCGCGTTTGTTAAATCGCGCACGTTCCTGAGCGTGTCGTGTAAAAGCACCTATAGTGTTATGTGAATACGCGCGTTTGTTAAATCGCGCACGTTCCTGAGCGTGTCGTGTAAACGCACCTATAGTGTTATGTGAATACGCGCGTTTGTTAAATCGCGCACGTTCCTGAGCGTGTCGTGTAAATGCACCTATAGTGTTATGTGAATACGCGCGTTTGTTAAATCGCGCACGTTCCTGAGCGTGTCGTGTAAAAGCACCTATAGTGTTATGTGAATACGCGCGTTTGTTAAATCGCGCACGTTCCTGAGCGTGTCGTGTAAACGCACCTATAGTGTTATGTGAATACGCGCGTTTGTTAAATCGCGCACGTTCCTGAGCGTGTCGTGTAAAAGCACCTATAGTGTTATGTGATTACGTGCGTTTGTTAAATCGTGCACTTTCCTGAGTGTGTCGTGTAAATGCACCTATAGTGTTATGTGAATACGCGCGTTTGTTAAATCGCGCACGTTCCTGAGCGTGTCGTGTAAAAGCACCTATAGTGTTATGTGAATACGCGCGTTTGTTAAATCGCGCACGTTCCTGAGCGTGTCGTGTAAAAGCACCTATAGTGTTATGTGAATACGCGCGTTTGTTAAATCGCGCACGTTCCTGAGCGTGTCGTGTAAATGCACCTATAGTGTTTACGTGATTACGTGCGTTTGTTAAATCGCGCATGCTCCTAACGGTGTCGTGTAAAGCAGTTATCGTGCGTGTAGCGAGTTGAGCGTGATGGATAAAGAGCGTGATGGATACAAATATTAATACAAAAAAAAATACGTTCATAAGCGGCTAAAATGTCCTACTCGAATAAATGATTTTTGAAATGCAAATAAAGGTATTTACCTCTCTCGACGTTTCAACAAGATAGCACTAGCCGCGGTCACGAGTTGACGTCACACAGTTAGCTCGTAATCACGGACACAATAATAAATGATTCTTTATTTCGCTCGTGCGTAGAGGGTTGCGACATCGCAACCTGACGGCGATGCGAGCCGCCACGGCTCGAGGGCTGGCCGCGCTCGCCGCGCCCGCGCACGGCGCCGCCGCCGGGCCCCTCGCCGCCCCCGCCCGCGCCCGCCGCGCCGCCCTCACCGTGCAGGGCTTCCGGTCCAACCCCGCAGGTACGGCCGCGCCGCGCTCACCGTGCAGGGCTTCCGGTCCAACCCCGCAGGTACGGCCGCGCCGCGCTCACCGTGCAGGGCTTCCGGTCCAACCCCGCAGGTACGGCCGCGCCGCGCTCACCGTGCAGGGCTTCCGGTCCAACCCCGCAGGTACGGCCGCGCCGCGCTCACCGTGCAGGGCTTCCGGTCCAACCCCGCAGGTACGGCCGCGCCGCGCTCACCGTGCAGGGCTTCCGGTCCAACCCCGCAGTATGTCCGTCTGAAGGTCATCTCCATCGGTGCAGGATTTCCGTGATCCGATACGGTGCGGCGCGAGAAGAATAGACAAATCCTAACCACTTCATCTATTCCTAAACACCATCAAACTCTATAATTGTGGTATTACTAGTATTTAGCAGCAAATTTGACTTTATCTACTAAAACAATCTTATATTTAGTTGTGCAACTGCTTCAGAAGGTAATTTTTAATAATGATTTTAAACAAAATATATACTAAGTATTTTTTAAACATCATATTTTTTATTAAAACATGCAGAAACCTTTATTTAGGTAGAGAGGTTTTTTTTCTATTCTTTTATAAACAATTCCTTTTAGTAAATAGTCTTATATACTTATTTTATTTTTCAGTAATTATAAATTCGCAGCTAGAAACTTTATAATCCTCCTAATTATAATGGTTATATAACAATGTTAATTATTTATACACAGATCCAGAAAGCCACATATTGTTCTTCGACATCGAAGGCCTCATTGTGGAGCTCCTGAGCGAAGAATACTCAGCCATGAGTCCCGCCAGCTTAGAAGTGAGTTTGATAGTTATAACGTTTAATTTTACTTCCTTGATTCTTGTTTAGTTATCGATTCGTTATATAGCGGGGATATTGAACGAGTTCTCAGACTTAACTGAATCCATTCCATTCACTGAGCTCCCTAAAATATGGTTGAGCGCAGTGATGGCTAGCTCATACGACATACTCGTGAACGAGTGCTGCTTCTGGTCTACTCAAACCACTACGATTGATTTACTCTTATTTAGTAGCTCAACCAGTTGGTTGTATATTTAATATTTTCTCTATTTGAGCATTTAACTGAATTTGTGCTAATTGGTAGTTTGTATTCACACACTTCAACTTAAAAATGTAAAGTGACAATAAAATTATTTAAAAGGACAACACGCAAGTTTCTTGCACATTCTTCTTGTGATGAGACAGCTTTCCGAATGAGCGGTAGATTAAAAAAAAATGTGATGACTATTCAAAAGTGCTTGAATGTAAGTTTATTTGAATAAAATAAATGATTTTCTATTCTATTCTATTCCATTCCACAGCATTCCGCACTGTCTTCTTCCTCTTTGTAAAACTATTAAATACATTTTATGTTTTTGCCTGCAACTAATATCTAGGCGTTATCAAAAAAAATGTAATATAATTGTAAAATTTTTATATATGTTGGCAGAGATGCCATCTCTATGTAGATTCAGGGTTGTCACTCTATGTAACACGGCAGTATATATATAAATTATATACCATAATATTGTTGACAGGCTGCCGGACTTATCACAAGTGAATACATGAAAGTGGCAGCTCTGACGCAGTCGGCCAGTCCTGACGCTACCAAGAGAATATCAGGTACATCACTTAGTTCTACTAATATTATCGTATCCGTCAGGCGGGAGTTAGCCTTCAGTTGCTCCAGTAATTATAACTCCTTCCTTTGGTTTGGAGTGCCATCTGCAATCGCCCTCTATTGTCCGGTGAATCTGTAAACGCCAGCTGTGGGCTGTAGCCAACAGCATTAGAGTAGTCCGAAAGAAGAAATTAATATTATCTGATCTTATTTGTTTTTAGTCTATCGTACAAGGTAATAAATTCTCACTTACAATTCTCTTAAGTAACCCTTAACGAGGGGAAAGCGAATGTTAGTAATGTACTCCATTGTTAGCAATGTACCACGACAGATTGACCTCCACGCGGTTCCCCCTGGAAACTAACGTGATAAATTCCTGTTGAATTTATCCCCATGGCCTAACTGACCTGACCTCATGCTCATCTTATCATCCTCTACTGGTTCTGATGGAATAATTCTATGCTAAATAAGTGTCTCTCGACGCTTCGAGTAGGTTGCACAAGCTGTGGTCACAACCTGACTGACTACTGACTGAACAGTTTAACTATATTCATAAACTATTTACTCGCCCCGGTTAACTACTAAAAAACGCTTCAAAATCCATTGCGTAGTTTTAACGATTTAAGCATACATAGGGACGGACAGACAGCGACAGCGACTTTGTTTTATACTATGTTATGATAATCATAGATGTAATTTGTTGTGTAATTATCTAACTATATCAGTAATCTGTAAACTATAGGATACAAACAAAACATGGAAAATTGTGCTCGAAATTATGACATAATTTTAATATTAGATATTTCTAATTTTACGCTTACCATAAACGGAAAGATTTCTTCGGCCGCGTGAAAGACAAGGCCGGAGATATGGAACGCATACTGAAAGAGAAGGACAAACATGGTTGGTATATAATATAATAATAATATCTCATTACAATTCACACAGCGCCATCTAGTCCCAAGCTAAGCGGAGCGGGGCTAGAAAACTTATATAAATATATAGATTACTAGCTGATCCTGCAAACGTTGTTTTGCCATATAAATTAAAACGCTATTAATATAGGGGTTGGTGATAGAAGGGTGAAAATTTTGGGTTGTATGTATTGTTTAATGCCACATTATAAAAAAAATCCAAAAAAATAAAAATAAAATGTGACCCTTATCACTAATAGGTATGAAAAATAGATAGTAACTGATTCTCAGACCTACTGAATATGTTTATAAAATTTCATAAAAATCGGTCAAGCCATTTCGGAGTATTGATATTGAAATTGAAGATTTTCGTTCCTTCCCATAGGTATCCTCGCAAAGATGAAGGAAGGCGCGGAAACAATGCAGACCAAGTTACAAGCGAAAGCGGAGCAATTGAAGGGCCATACGGACGCGAAAGGTAAGTGTAGTGTATAATTATTTAGCAGGTTTTAATACGGCATTGCTAATGGAAATGTACTATGAAAGAACCAGCATGGGGGTTTTCAAGAAGGGTATATTAACATTTCTTAAGAGTTGGCAACTCGCACGTGACACCACTGGTGTTTCAGGCGTCCATAGGCTACGGTAACCATTTACCATCAGATGGGCCATATGCTTGTTTGCCACCACTAGTAGTATATAAAAAAAAGTATGAAACATTGTGTTTCAGTACAAGATTAGAATTTCTTGATTGTAACAAACATTTTTTTATGAGTTAAAGTATTATTGTTCCACACGCAGCAAAGTTATAAATATGTAAAAAATAATGTGGCCGCTGCACAATGCAACAAGGCAACCAAGCGCCCTTATAAGTGTATATTTTTAAATCTAATTGTGTTGCCATCTATTTATGATAATCAAAAGACAGAAATAACGACAATAACTGTTTATTGTGCACAGAAAATATTTACAAAAAATAACAACTCAATAAAATAAGCTAAATAAAACTTATTTATATTGAGTTTAATGCAATCTCTTACAGGCTACAACTTAGGAGATTGAAGCTTTGAGTAAAGAGAAAAGGTAGTAAGAATAGAAATAGATAATATAGCATTTGCACATAGCAATCTGTTATTTTATTAAAAATAATTTTTAATAATAGATGAGTTGTTTGAAATTAATTAAGAATAAAATACTATTTTATCATTTCGGAATATACCAATATAACAACAATAGACCTTCACGACTCTAAGCCCTGAAAGATAGTCAGAGGCATTATCAATTATCGACGTATAATAACATACAGTACAACATAGCAGGGGCGAGACTAGTTCTGTTGTCTTCCGAAATTTGTAGTAATTGTTATCGACAGATTGACACGCAACTTTTTCTTTTTGGTGTTGACTTGACATGCTCATGTTTCCCTATATTTGAAGACCAAAATTCAAAAATAATTTATACATTTAGGACATTCTAGCCGCTTACGAACGTCGAGTTTTTACATTATATTTACTATACTTATACTATACTATACTTTTTTTTTAAAAAGCCTGTTTATTTACAATGTATGTATGTAGGTATTTATATAGATCTCTATGTCTAACATTATATGAAAATCCCGTACATGAACAACTATTGACATGCACGCTCGTCATTCAAGTAATTGTTTAGTGAGTACTAGGCTTTGTTCCAGACCAGTTGACACCTTCCCGTCGTCTCTTGGATTAGTTTGGTTTGTTATTGGTGTCTCTATCACCGATGAGTCAGTCAGAAATAAAAACTATCACATCATTTTTTTACATTTGTCGATATTTTCTCGTCGTTATATCAGTTGACTCCTCTGACTATCCTATTTAGGATATGAGTCGTGAACGTGTATTGTGGACCTTTAAATCTAATAACAGGAAGTACGAATCGGTACTCATGTCCTATTTACTGCGACTATAATGAGTACTCAATTAATAGTATTATTCATTTGCCTCCAAGGCGAGCGACATTCGCAAATTATTTTGTACAAGTTGCGACCGATGCGTGGAACATACGGATCCAAATTTCGGCGAGCTTGCTCGATATTACTATTTAATAATCTATGTATATTATAAAAATTGTATGGGAATTTTATAATCTATAGTCTATACTAATACTTTAAAGAGGTAGTTTGTGAATTTGTTAGGTTTTAGGGTGTAATTTGTCTCTGGATCTACTAAATCGATTTTGAAAATTATTTTTGTGTAGTAGTGTGTGTAGTTTCTAAAGGATTTGACCTACTACCATGCGGATTTTATGTTTTAAAGCTGACGGTTGTTAGCTGGAAATTAATTTTTTTTTTTTATTCGAGATTTACTTAAAATTTTTACTTTATTTTGTGTACCGATGTGTTTAAACTTTATTCTGAGTAAGCGAATAAATCTATTGCAATGTCAGTTAGGCGGGTAGACGGTTTTCACCAATGTATTGTAGTAAGCTTAACAAGAAGTAATAATAAATCACAGGCTTAGCTCTTTCTTAATATTATTATTTTAATAAATGTACTGTTATATGATTGTAGTCGCATCTAGCGGGTATAAAAACCAAATCTCGAACATAAAAATATGTAATAAAATATTATACTCATCCATGCCAACTAAAATAGGCGTGGCCCTTTGGATGTTTTAACCAATGTGACTTCAAACTGTAATGCAAAACCACAGTTACCCACAGTTACCCATTTATGGGGTATATTAAGGTTTTTTAACGGTAAGCAACGCGCACGTGACTCCCTTGGTGTTTTTTACCATCAGATAATCCTAAAGCTTGATTACCATCTACGTAGTTTTAAAAAAAAAGTAATGGTCAGCGTTTTACAGAATTAATATGAAATTAACAATATACTAACTAAAACTGTTCAACTACCACGTTGAAATACACTACGGCCACGTTCATTCTACGTCGCGTGAAAATACTGCTCTTCAGCACTTTTGAGAAGCGTTTAGCTATATCTTATATCTTATCTTATATCACTTAAGATATAGTTTTGTTTCTTCGGTTTACAAATAAAAAAGTTACGTGGATACAAAATTCTCGATGAAGTTGCAATAAATTCGTTCGCTCGACGGTATCACGCGCCGTATGTTTTCAACACAAGAAAGCCTACGCCCTCACCAAGGTAGTCTAGATTTCCAGTAAACGATATCTAGTATAATTTCAATAATGCGATCTTATTGCTATTCTCACAAATGTCATATTGCCTTGACATTATTGTAGGGCTTGGCTAATTTCGAAATACTTGGTCTGGTATCAAGTTTTCCTTTGTTCTGTTCATTATTATTGATGTAGGTAGATATATTTATTTGAGGTAGTTTGTACAAAATCTGCGTGGGTACCTCGGTGTCTCCTGTTTTAGCTGCCCATTAGCTTGCTTTGTAAGATATTTTTCAGTTGCAGGATGAGATATCGAGTGTAATTATATAATATACTAGCTGTTCCCGCGACTTCGTCCGCGTGGACTTAAGTAGCCTAAGTTACTCCTTATTACATCGGCTACCTGGTAAAAAAAGTCCCGTCAAAATCGATCCAGCCATTTCAGAGATTAGCCGGAACAAACAGACAGACAGACAAAAAAATGTTATTTTGGTGTATGTACCGTATTTATATTCATATGCATGTAGTAAAAAACGGTTATTTCAATATTACAAACAGACACTCCAATTTTATTTATATGTATAGATTAGCGACCTCAGTGGGCTAGTGGATTACCACACGACTTTACTTCCGATAGTCACAGGTTTTGATTCCCCCCACGTTATAAACATTTGTATATGAGTATGATTGTTTGTATCGGTCTGGGTGTTTTCTATCTTTAATATGTATGTATTTACAAAAATATATCGTAAGTATTTATATCCGTTGCCTTGTACACATAACAAGCTCTGCTTTGCATAGGACTAGATGGCGCTGTGTGAAATGTCCTAAGATATTATATTATTATTAATTTGTGAAAGTGAGTGAGTACAAAAAACTGATTAATTTTTTTTTTTTTACATAAAGTATCCATTTCTCTCAGAGCCGTCTTCGTAGTTGATTTCTCTGACTATCCTATCTACGATATTAGTCGTGAAGGTGTGCAACCGTAACACAGCTCACAAATTAAGCTGCCACGTGAGTTGTCAGCAATTAAAATATAATAAATTTAACAGCATAACCGGTTTTAAGCTATTAGAGCCATTATAATATGTAAAATCGTAGGTCTTTGATCTTAATAGATATTTTACTATTAATCATATTTTAAACACGTGCAATCTACGTCAATCAATATTGATATAAATATCAATTAACAGCTCAGAATAGAATAGAATAATAGTGCTTAAATTACATATTTTTTTCAAATATACTTAATTTAAGCACTTTTGAATAGTCATAATAATTTTTTAATCTACTGCTCATTTGGAAACCTGTCAACATCGTCGCAAGAAAGAACAAGACACTTAAGTATTGCTATTGTGCCTATACTTGTAATATTTCGGTCAACACTTGAGACTCTTCCATTAGTTTACGTCTCCACGTAACATAGATTTTTTTAATATTTATATACATATTATTATATAACTAGTATTTACATAACCTAATTGTACAACTAAGAACTACAATAAAAAGCTTAAAAAAAAAATATAATACGATGACTAAAATATATTATTAAAAGGGGTCCCTTTAGGCAACGTTCCGAAGATTTAAGTTGAGTGTAAAGTTAGTCCATGTAAAGTTACTAAGCCATGTAACACACTATCCAATAAACTTATTAATCATTACATAGTGTAAAACAAAGTCGCTGTCGCTGTCTGTCCGTCCCTATGTATGCTTAAATCTTTAAAAACTGCGCAACGGATTTTGAAGCCGTTTTTTTATAGAGTGATTCAAGAGTAAGGTTTATATGTATCATACATGTACACCCGTGCGAAGCCGGGGCGAGTAGGTAATGTACGATAAATAGTAAAATTATGTCACCTGTATAGTTATACTCACTACTTAATACTACAATAAACAATATATTATGTAACGACACGTCATCACATCATACACAACGTTACAGTGATGAGGTGATACCACTGCGCTTCAATCTTTTATTTAAAAGATTAAAGATTAAAGTTACAACGATTATTTAATCGTTGTAACTTTACATTTCTAAGTTGAAATGTGTGAATACAAACTACTAATTAGCACTAATTCAATATAGTTAAATACACAAATAAAGAAAATAAATATACACAACCAGCTGGTTGAGTAACTAAATAAGAGTAAATCAGTCGTAGTCATTAGAACAGACCAGTCCCTACAAGCAGCTCCCGTTCACGAGCATGATGGAACTATTCAGTTTTAACCTATTTGGGGACATGCTTACGACTGCACTGTATGGTTAACTCTTTCTTTTCTCTTCCTTGGTTATTTCTCTCGCTCTGGCTGTCTCATCCTGGCTATATTTATAGTCATATTCGTTCACGAGTATGACGGATTAGCCAGCCATCACTACGCCAATTAATTAAAGACTCATAATTAACATAACATATTGTGCGAAAATATGATTCCTCTAGACGTTGTTACTTGATATGCATACACAAACACAAATTGAAGAATTCACCACGATGTACCAATTGACATATAGAATAGAATAGTGCTCTGTGGAACTTGGTAGCGAAGACTCACACGGTGTAGTAATATTACACTGGTGCGTGAAGCACAGTAGACACTTTCCGACTACAAGATTGCGTCACTTGCCATCTGATGGTGTGTGGTAACCATTAACTTTTAGGTGACGGGGGTTGTTAGTAATATGGACTGAAGACAGGTTGACCTCCGCGGTACCCCTCTGGAAATTTAGTCTGGTCAGTTAGCTCATCGTGACAAATTCACGAGGAATTTATCACGATGAGCTAACTGACCTGATTTCATGTTCATTTTATCACTGGTGACCCACCAGCGTAAACCGTTAGCGCAGGTGGGTGCACCATTCCATTATTATACATAAAAAATACCTATTGATATACATGAACAGCACTACCAATATCACTATATCATGTAACGCCAGTAATATCACGGGCTATTTTTTTTATTTATTTATAACTTAAATATACTTTAATGCACCTTTAATAAAATTCGAAACAAAACAATATTCATAGTATGTAGTGTACCTAAGGGCGGTCTTATCGTTTAAGCGATCTCTTCCTCTATTCTTTCTTCTTCTCCTTCTTCTATTCCGTACTAAGATGTTATGGATATAGCAATTTTATTGCCTTGTAGACTTTATTACTACAATCTTTACATAATTATATTGCCTGATCTAACAGCTTATAAACTAAGATTCTAGGAGGCTGAAATAAGTGAGACTAAGGTGAGAATGAGCAAATTTATAGTGTAATTTATGTAATGTATTTTATAAATAGCAAAATTATAGTTGTGATAATGACTATGATTTTGCGCAGTTGTGTAGTTTGTGTTTAGTTAATAAACTAATCAATGAGAGTGAGTAAATCATTCCATTATTATCCATAATAGAGTATTTTCTATTACTATAACTCTTTCATAATTACGTTGCCTGATCTGATAGCTTATAAACTAAGATTCTATGAGGCTGAAATAAGTGAGACTAAGGTGAGAATGAGAGTGAGTGCACCAATCCATTATCATACATAATAAACACCATCACCTTTCTTCTATTCCGTATCTCCTTCTTCTGTTTCGTAGTACAAAGATGTTATGGATATAGCAATTTTTTGGCTTCTAAACTATTACTATAATCCTTTCATAATTACATTGCCTGATCTAACAGCTTATAAACCAAGATTCTAGGAGGCTGAAATATACTAGATATAATAATGTAACTGTATAATGTTAGCTTGGTACAATAAATATTGTAAATATGTACAACATTTATTTGAAAAGAATTACTTGTCAGTTCTTCTCATCGAAGTCATTCCGAACTGACGGTAGATTTGACATATCATAAGAGTCTGTAATAGACCTACATGAATAAAGATATTTTGAATTTGGAACATCAAAAATAATTACAATACAAGTTTTCCTCACACCATATTTATTTTCTTTTGTACAATATTTTGTATTTGATTTTAATATAACAGGGTAAATGAAAATACTGAATGGTTTATAAAAATGTGTTTATTTACACTTTGGCAGTGATGGCATGAGATTTATTTACAAAGAGAGTTACTTACTGAGACCTTTGTGTTCCATTGAGCAATTTCCCTTCCATTATGTAAGGCTATTTTGAGGTGAGTGGCAACACTACGCGCCTACTAATCATCAACTAGCAACACTGTCAATTATATTGGCAATGTTGCCAGCGATAATTCATCAATTAACGCCGACGAACATCTCTATCAAAAATAACTGTTATTTCGAATAACGTATATTCGAAATAACAGTTATTTCGAAACGGTTATCGATTTACCAAGCGCGCAGGCCCAGTCCGTGGACGCCGAGACCGGCAACGCCGAGACCAGCTACGCCGAGACCGTAGGGGGAGACTCCAAGAGGGGCGAGACCTAGGGGAGCAGCAGCGTAGGGGGAGACGGCCAAGGGGGCGGCGACATGGGCGGCTCTGACGGCAGCGGCGGCTCCGCCAAGAGCGGCAGCCTGGGACTGGGCAGCGGCGACTAAGTTCTGGCTGGCAGCGACTCCACCCCAATAAGCGTTCTCGTTGATGTCGCGAGCTGTTTCGGATGCTTGACGGACGGCTTCTGTGTTGTATTGGATTGCGGCTTCAGCGGCGCGGGCTTGACCCTCGCCGACAGCGCGGGCGGTGTCGGTGGCAACGACGGTAGCGTCGATGGCGGCGGCTTGAGCGTCACCCGGGTTTACTCCCAAGACGAGGGGGGAGATGAGTCCAGCGGACGCATAGCCGAGAACGGCGGCGAAAGCAAACTGTAAATAATAAACGTTGTTTTAATTGATTGTTTGTATTGTTTGTGTTGCTCGATAATTTGTTTGCTCGTGATACAACCGTTTACCATTATGGACCGTAGGGTTGTTTGCCACTATGGTGGTTCTTTACCACATTACTACCAACTATCTTCACGTCAAGTTCAGTTCAACGATTTCGTGAAAAGGTGACGAATAAACAGGCAGTTTGACATTCGGAATATTTGTGTGAACACAAACTAACAAAATTATAGTTGTGATAATGACTATGATTTTGTGCTAGTTGTGTAGTTTGTGTTTAGCTTATAAGCTAAACGAGATCTATAATTTAACATTTCGTATTAGAAAAAACATATTTTGTAAATTATTGAAACTATACGAATGAAAAACTGTTTTATTTATTTTCCTTAAAAACAAAGGTTGATAAATCAAATCAAATCAGTGTATCATTCTTCGTATTCGTATTCATGCATATCTATTACTCTTTTAATAAGTTAAAACCGTCAGTCAAATTGTATTCAGAATTTAGTTTTATCAATAATAACTCACAAAAAACTCAACGCTTACTCTTCTTAAGTTTAAAAGATTACTTTTTAAATTTAAATTAATTTAAATTTAATGCTTCAGAATTTAGTGATCAATAAATTAAAAAGATATAATCCAGAACCTCTTTTCTGAGGTCGACTGGAAGTATATTATGTACGTAATCTATATGCAATTAGGTTAGGTCTAATAATAACGAGTAATTAATATAAGTAATTAGTAATTAATTTATAAAATAAAATCACTCTAATCTAATATCAAATTACAGGAAATTAGGCCTTGAGTTGTTAAAAATTATATTATAAAAAGGCGTATAAATATTTATATTCGTTGTAATCAGACGCATGCTTCCTTCACAGCGACATTTACATACTTATTGCTACAAAACAAAGGCTTGAATCTATTATATATTGCGCATATTTCCACCGATGATCGCTGAACCATAAATTCCAAGCCACTTTTTTTGTAACTAATCGGTAATTAAGTTTAAACAATCCGCGTGTCGCGCAACGGCTTAATATGATGTTTATGTCAAAACCAATTACGCGTGATGAAAGAACGGTTAGTTGCGAGAACCGTTTTTTTAGTGACGTCCCACAAGTGTAGCCTATAGTTATTCACAATACCATAAATTATAATTCGATACCCGTGTTACGATTCATGCGTTGTTTTGCATTAAGCTGTTACGCTTCCTACAAATCAAGGGATTAAGGACAATTAATAAGGACTATTGGTTCAATTAATAGTAATGGTACATCAGATCGATCTCCATGCAGTCCCTTTAGAAGCTGGCATGGTTATTTCCTGGTAAATTCGCCATGAAGGGCTAACTGACCTGACTTTATTCGCCACTATTTATTATTATTCCTATTATACGCCACTGGTGCCTCACAATATACCGTTAATGCAAGCGGTTGCATAATTCCATATTCATCCGTAGAAAAATAACCTACACAAGAAAACGACTTTAAATTGTCCCTTCGCAGATTCTAATTACGTTTCACTAGCTGACTCGCGTAACTTCGTCTGCATTGCATTTTCACTGTTTTTGTAATGTTTTTCGTTGATGCTCCGGTCCTATTGGTCGTAGCGTGATTGTATATAGCCTTCTTCGATAAATAGGCTATCTTATAGTATCTAAAACAGTTTCAGTATCTAAATCAATTCGGAACAGTAGTTCCTGAGATCAGCGCGTTCAAACAAAAAAACTCTTCCGCTTTATAATCCAAATATATATAACTCAAAGGTGACTGACATAGTGATCTATCAACGCACAGCCCAAACCACTGGACGGATCGGGATGAATTAGGATAAAATAGGGGATGAAAGTTTGTATGAAACTTTGTCAATTTTAAATCGATCGGGTTGAGTTTGCATGCATAAAGCTACCATGACGTAGGTGTCCCCTAAGAAAGAATTTTGATAAATTCCACCCCTAAGGGGATAAAATAACGCGAGCGAAGCCGCGGGCAAAAGCTAGTATTAGTATAAAGGAGGGGATTATTAGTAATGTGGACTAATAATCTCATTGCTAGCAATGTACCATATTAGATTTATCTCCACGCAGTTCCACCTGGAAACTATCTTGATAAATTCCTGATGAATTTGCCACGAGGGTTGACTGTCCTGACTTCATGCTAATCTGATTATCCTCCACTGGTGCCCCGCCAGCGTATACCGTTAGTGCAAGCGGGTGCATCATTCCATCATCCTCCATAAAAAATAGTATAGATATGTCTAGCTAATTATATTCGAAGTACATAACAATGCGTGTCCTTGACACAAACAAACAATATTATGTATGCCAAACTTGTCTGTGACCGAATAAGCGAACCGTTATTGCCGGCCTCGTTATTTATGTAGTTATTGTAACTAGTAACCCATTACGTTTCGTTTTCGTTACAACTACTAATTGTCGTATGAATGGATAGCTTTATTTGGACGCAATTTGCAGTTTAGAAGAACTGTTGTGTTTTATGGAGATATCGATGGGTATTGGAGTTTTAAAGTAGTATTTTTTTTTATGACGACTAATTATAACTTTACACGTTGCACAGTTAAAATATGATGTTTTTTTGTGCAATTTCATTATAATTGTTCAATGTGTGAAATCTTAATAAAGAAACAAACTATTGATATCTATATAAAAAGAATAGAATAGCATATTATTATAAATGGTACTAATATTATAAATGCGAAAGTAATTCCGTCTGTCTCGCTTTCACGCCAAAACTATAGAACCGATTTATATGAAATTTAGTACACGTATAGTCTAGAACCTGAGAAAGGACATATGCTATTTTTTAATCCGAAAAAAGAGTTGTAAGGGGTTGAAAGGGGAGATGGAAGGTTACATGGAAGTATCTACAATTTACAAAGTCGTGGGCACATCTAGTAATAAAAGAAATAACTAGGAACCCGTCCTTGCTTCGCACGGGAATACAGTCAATATGACTATACTATGTATCTTAAAATTCAGAAATAATATTTTTTATTGGTCATATTTAAATTATGTCACGTCAATTTCAGTCATTTTAACCCCAACCCCTTGTTATACAATGCAACACTTTGTCTACAGATTACTCACACCCCTCTAGTAACTTGTGACGAATTTACACAGAGTAGTTTCCTCCCGCGCACTCTCATATTGATGAATGAATTACAAAAGATTTTCTCTAGAGACCACAACATGGGATTGTCAAGAAGGGTATATTAAGGTTTCTTAAAGGCTGGCAACACGGACGTGACACCCCTCATGCTCTATTTGTCTGTAGGCTACGGTAACTGTTTACCATCAGATCAAGCCGTATGCTTGTTTAAGACTGTGATATAAAAAACAGACGAAACGATTTTTATTTGATTTGATCGAACCTGCGACCATCGGACTTAATGCGGTGTATAAACCGCTAGGCCACCGACGCCGAATAAATGTAGGTAAAGATAATAATAATGACATAAAAAAATAGCAGTTGAGTTTCTTGACAGTTAAAAACTGAAATAGCTAAACGAATTGGACAGTAGGGATAGTGATAACAAAATTATGATTTGCATAAGATGCTGAAAGATCCTAGATGAATATTTTTTTTATTTTGATTTCAATTTGGATCCTTGCGCTTGCTTGTATTCATTTAGGTATCAAAATCTCAGAATAGCATATATTCAAATTTCCACTTTGTTGTTGAAAAAGGTTCAATTTTATAAATAGTCTACCTAGATTTTGGCATGGGTACAATAATGTAGTACCATATTTTATCCACAAGTAGATAGGCAAAGGTACAAGACCATACAGCCTAATCGTTAGTGATACAAGAATGATATTTAAAAAAGGCCACAAGTTAAGTGTTAAGATTAATGTATGACAAAAACAAAGAGTGAATAAAAAATATGATTGACAGTATGACATTAGACACATGTTTGTATTGTCTATGCCCTTCTGTACCAATTTGTAAGTACCAGCCTTGTTCTAATTATATAGTACTATAAATGTGAAAGTTTGTCTGTTTGTTACCTATAAGGGCTTAAATGGCTAAACCTATCGTAATGAAATTTAAGCTGTAGAAGGGCGTAGGCTACTATCAAGATCAAGGAATTTGACCGAATCACCGCAATAAAATTACAGACTTAAACTAGTTAAACTTAAATTAAATTACTTTTAACACAGTTTAAAACTTAGCTAAGTATATACATAAAGTACAAATTGCTTTACGTACTTAATATAAGCTGTGACATTTAAATATGTAATGATTCAGCCTTGTCAATGTCAAGTATTTGCAAGTAATTTTAATTAAAGCAAATGTTATTAAGGATATGTATCGACAAGGCCGAATTCGCCAATCAAAGGGCTGAAATGTTGACAATCGAATTAATTATAATTGTTGACGTAATGAACACTTCCGTATTGTTAAAATAGTTTTTGATAGCACTTTACAAATAGATCAATTAAATGTCTTTGGCTCAAGTAAATAATTAAAAAAATAACTAAAAAAGATGTCTGTTTATAAATAGAAATTGGCGCGAATTTTAAATTTCGAACGCAAGTTGTCACTATTGCAGTCTGTATCTACGATCTTATTGTTATTTGATAATGAATAGAAATTGGCGCAAATTTTAAATTTCAAGCGCGGGTTGTTTCCAGTTCAGTCCTTATCTATGATGTTATTTTTTATTATTAAATGATAAGAAAGATAATATCCTACCAGAAATCTCATCGTGCACTTCTTGGTCAGACTGCTCGATAGCTACTGAATGCTTGGGACAGTGGTGGTAGGTCTTTTATAGTGCCGGTACACTATGTGCCTATTGAAAGTGTCAGTAAGCATTGATACCGCTTAAAGTGTTTACTTACAGGTTTGCAAGTATTCAGAGGTGATCATGCGTGTATCCATTTTGGGATGCGTTTTTTCCTATTTCAAATTTAAAAAAGGAATATTAGAAGTATAGTCCCCCAATTTGTTTTATTAATTTTGTATATAAATGTCCTAATTTAAATTAAAATAAAAAAGAATTCTATTAGAATACTATACGGAAATAAAAGTTTTTTTTAAAGTAATTTTAAATAGAAATGTTGTTCCTAATTCAAATTTAAAAAAAGAATTACATTAGAATAGTATTCGCAAATAAGAGTTTTTTTTTTATTAAAAAGTATTTTTATATAGAAGTGAAAGGCGTGGGTTTTTCGAACTGATTCTGTCATATAAGGGAAGCAGATGGTGATCTGTTAACCTTTAAAACATTACAAGGACTTGATAACAATGAATAAATATATCAGAGATAATGGCGGCATGATATTTATGAATTTATTCGTACTATCTTTAAAGACGGCAATGTGGCCAGTCGTTTGTTACAAAAGAGGTTGGGTGTTCAATTCTGGCTGTATAAAAGAAAATTGCGTGTCAATTTTTTTTCTGACATTTACGTTGATTAGTTGACGTTTTTTTCTGAGCTTTACGTAGTTTGTGTTATGGGTACTAGTTAACTGATATTTGTAAATACATACATAATACACATAGAAAACACCGAGACCAATGCAAACAATCGTCCTCATAATACAATTGTTGGTGCGAGGAATCGAACCCGCAACCATCGGAAGTAAATGCGCTGTGCTAAACCGCTATACCACTGGTCTATATCATACGTACTACGTAGGGTAAAAAGCTCAACATCACGATATCATTGTATATTTCTTGGGTGGAGCAGGAAGTACAAATAATATATAAAAAACTGTCCCAATGTTTTCATTGGCATTTAGCGCGAGAAATAGAATATAGCTGGTATTGCATGATGGTCGACCGTCACACCGTAGCTGTAAGATAACGATTTCTGTTTAAACTAATAATCTTATATATAAAATTCTCGTGTCACAATGTTAGTTTCCATACTCTTCCGAAACACCTAGACCGATTTATATACACATATTCAGTAGGTCTGAGAATCGGTTACTATCTATTTTTCTATCCCTAACATTTATTTTTATTTTTTTGAATTTTTTTTTATTTTAGTCATGTGGCGTTAAAAAATACATATAACCCTAAATTTTCGCCTTTCTATCACAACCCCTATTTTTTAATAGCGATTTTAATTTATATGTCAAAATAAAGTTTGCGGTTCAGCTGGTAATAATCTAGGACAATTTACACAGCGCCATCCAGACCCAAGTTAAGCAAGCTAAAGCTTGTGTTAAGGGTGTAAAAAAAATCTATGTATCCATATATCATATCATATATATATCATAAGAGATTCTAATAGACCTACTATTACAGACTCTTATAATATGTTAAAATAGTTTTTAGTATTAGAAACTCTTAGCTAGACAGACGGACTACCGTCTGTTCAGAGTTTTCTACCTAAGAACTGACAAGAAACTATGCTTGTAGCATAGTTGAAAAGAATTAGAGTTGAGTGTGTGTTTACACATGTTTACAATAATACAGATTCATTTTTTTTATTCGTCTTGGATGTATCAAAACCAACGTAAGATCAATAAGTTCTTAGAAACTAATAGAATAGGTTGTAAGTGACGTATGGGATACTAGATGGCGCTGTGCTAAATTTAAAACTCGCTTACGTTTCGTTTTGCGTCAATGGTAAATACCTAGAGGTATCATTTGTCTTTCGTACCCTGTAATTTTCACTGTCTATTAATAATTTGTTTTACACTCCTCCCTATGTTATGTAGGCGAGTGAGTTAGAAGTAATTTTGAAATGCGGAAACCTGGTTACCGTTGTGATCTTGTACATGCTAATTGTAGCGGAATTAAACAAATTTTATTTTTGTTCTGTAATTGGTGCAATAAAGGGTATAAATAAATAAAAATAAATAAATACAAATCCATTAAGTAATGTGTAAAATGGACTCCGCAAAATAACACATAAATCAATAAAAAAAAAATACATAATTGTAAAACGGACATATCATCACGACTTTTATACCATAACGGGTAGTCAGAGATATTGTCAACTGTCGTTTATGGATTTTAAATCCAACGTGATAGACGGAGAGCCTACCCTCGTCCTTCGGATTATTTTTGGTTTTAAGGATGTTTCCTTCACCAAATAAACGTTTAGACGTAAATTGACATTTGGAGTTTTTTTTTATGTAGGATTGATTACAACTTACGATGTTTTGGGGTAATTTAGGGTATTAAACCAATAGGCACTCTCAATTATAATTGTATAAAATAATATGTTAGCGATTTTATTAAATTAATTTTAATTAGACAACATTATAATGTGAAAAGAATTGCAAAAAATCATCGTCATCATCAAAAGAAAGCGCAAACAATCTCCTAAACATTATAGCCAGTATGTCGGATAGTCCACTTCAGAGACACTGGACATCATTGCACTGCTGCGGACCCAGTGCATCTGGACGTGGACATATATAGTATGTCGTGGATAGATATATGAATATTATATATATCACTAGCTGTTCCCGCGACTTCGTCCGCGTGGAATTTAACTTTATTTGTCTACAATAAAAGTTAAACTTAGGCTAAGGACATCATTGCAAAAAACTCTGTCAAAATCGGACCCAGATTGAACAAACAGACCGACGACAGACAGACAAAAATTGTAAAAAATATATATGTGTATCGTGGTAAAAAAGATATATGACACTCCATTTTATATATATCATTACATAGTATAAAACAAAGTCGCTGTCGCTGTCTGTCCGTCCCTACGTATGCTTAAATCTTTAAAACTACGCAACGGATTTTGAAGCGATTGAAGCCTTTTTAATAGATAGAGTGATTCAAGAGGAAGTTTTATATGTATAATACATGTACACCCGGCGGGGGCGAGTAGATAGTATATTATTAACATAGTTTATAAGTTGTTTCCACTATATATGGATGTAATCCGAAATAAATAAGAATAAAAATGTATTGTAAATATATAAATTCGTTACATAAGTCTGGGGTTTCTTAGCGTATACTATTTATTAGCACAGTCGAAGTTATTTAAACCATCATTTAGAAAATATTAAGCTACGGTGTGATTGTAATCGGTCCACCTACTGCATAAGTACTGTTTAAACAATATATAACTTTATCATCTAAACATAAAGTTCATAATGAGAAAAACATTCAATATTTAAGGGCTTCAATATACTCATATATTTGAAACTAGCTGTTGTTATTGTTGTTGCATTTGGTTGTGCATCTGCTTCGAATTTTCTTTTTAAAAATAATATAATTAACATGTTACAAATAAAAGTAGCATAAGTTACTCCTTAAAATATTAGTCAAAATCGGTCCAGCCGTTTTAGAGATTAGCATGCACAAACAAACAGACACAAATGTATGAAATATTTTTTTGTTGTAAGTACCGTATATACTTTGATATGCATTTAGTGAAAAGATGTTAATTTGAAATTACAGATATTTCAATTTTGTTTATTTATTAACTGTTCCCGCGACTACGACCGCGTTGGATTTAACGTTATTTTTCTAAAATAAAAAATAAATCTAGCCTAAGTTACTCCTTATTACATCACCTACCTGCCAAAAAAATCCCGTCAAAATCGGTTCAGCCATTTCAGAGATTAGCCGGAACAACAGACAGACAGAAAGGCAAAAATTATAAAAAATGTTATTTTGATGTATGTACCATATTTATATTAATATGCACGTAGTAAAAAACGCTTATTTCAATATTACAAACAGACATTCCAATTTTATTTATATTTATTAGATATAGATGTAAAAAACCTGATGTCGTATTTGATAGAAAGTTTCACCCGTCTTCAGGCAACGGTGACTGTTTACCATAAGATGGGCCGTATGCTTTATACGTCAATGGTGACACCATTGACGTATAAAAAAAGAGGATAGGGAAGCATGCCATCTCAGCTCTTAGGAATTGGAATGCATGGTGTCACACGATATCCGTGATAACGTGATATATCCACAGCGTTGTTCATGTATATAGATATAGTTTATAAATTTGTTTAAATAACACCCTCGTTGTTCTAGTGGATTAGTATACCGCTTTACTATGCGATGGTCGTAGGTTCGATTCCTCGCACGGGACACACGTTTGTGATTGTATCGGTCTGGGTGTTTTGTATGTATAATATGTATTTATTTACCTACAACAAAAAAGTGTATTCATGTTTATTATATATCAGTCGTCTAGTACCCATAACACGACCTCTGCTTAGCGTTAGACTAGATGGCGCTGTGTGAATTGTTTAGAGATAGTATTGTATGTCAATGGTAATGAATTATATTAGTACTCGTGTGACCGAGCTTCATCTGGCTATTACTACTATACCTTGTGTAGCGATAATGGGTTTAATTAAATTGTATATAGGTATATTAACCCGTTTAAACAGGAATGTGCGTTGTATTACTTCCTCAATTAAATTTAACTAATATATTTGAACTAGTTTCTTGAATAATTACAAAATTATTATAGACTAATACTACGCCCAGGTTTCGCCTAGGCCCTAATAACATTGTGAATTTTATGTCTTTTGGTCTACTAACATGAGCATGCAGATATGATTTTTATACCTCGAAGTTGACAAACCTATGGGCACTCTGATGGTAAACGGTTACCGTAGCCTATGAACGAATGAAGCACCAGGAGTGTCACGTATGCGTTGCCCTTAAGAAACCTAATTGAAATACCCTATGCTGTAGTCTCTCGAGAAAACCTCGCCGGGTAGTTAGTTCCACAATCTAAGCGTACGCGGGAGGATGCTCCTCTGAAATCGCACTGTCTGACCACTTAAGTTCCAGCGTGTTGGGATGAATTTCCTGTCGATGGCGAGCGGTGCGATGGTAAAAGATAGCCGTAGA